TCAGCCAATCTTTTCTGTTTCAGCTCAGAGGAATTTCTGTTTCATCATATGTAAATATGTTGCTTCTAATAAAAAAAAAACAATACTTCTGGATAATAAATTCCCAACTTGGTTAACATTTGTTTTGTTTTTTATTGGCCTAACCAAACAAACCCAAGCATGAAACAGTTTACGACTTGGAATTCCACCCCGACATGTCATCTTCTTTGGGCTTCGTCCTGACACGGTCTCTGTGACCTAAACTGTTGTATTCTTGTGAAGGTATGAACACAATGTGATTAGAGAGAATGTGTCAATAATGAGGTGAAACCCACATCACACACAAAAAATTACATTATTGACAGTAAAGTGATGTCATGTTGGAGAAATCTGCTTACTCTTTAGAAGAAACAATCTTTTATGTACAGTAGCACCTCTCAAGATAAAAATCAGGAGGCGCTTCACAAGAACAAAAATTGAAAAATAAAATAAAAGATTAAAAAATGTTTATTTATTAACTTATATTTTAAGAGGATAAAACCACTTGAGATGGAACTTCCCATTTACGAGTGGGTCCTCCTACCGAGGACAGACAGAGGCAGTACACTATAGAATGAAACAAACTCAGTCAAAAAAACAATCAACAAATGACAACTGAGAAAATTAATGAATAGATAATTAAAGAAAAACGGGACAAAATGAGATAAAAATAAAAATATTAATAAATATTATTATTATAAATAATAAATTCTGCTTTGGTACAGCAAAAAGAATGTCAGGCAGTAGCTTCAAAACAATTACAGATCGGTTTCACATACTCGTAGAGAGAGAGAGTTCTAAAAAAATCATAAAAATTAGAAAAGTAAAAAAAAGTGATAAATGTAAGGAAGGGGAAAGAGAAAATGATAAGGAAGAGGTGAGCAGTGGATCCAGGGAAAGACAGAATTGGTAGGAAGAGCTGAATGAAGAGAGGTTGATGAACTAACCAAAGGTCAATCTGAACAGGTGAGTCTTCAGCTGCTTTTTAAAGGAGACCACTGAGTCCACTGATCTCAGGCTCAGGGGGAGAGAGTTCCAGAGTCTGGGGGCCACAGCAGCAAATAATCAGTCACCTTTGGTCTTTAGCCTGGTGCATTGCACAACCAGTAGGTTTTGGTCACTGGACCTAAGGGACCTGCTGGGGGTGTAGGGACTGAGAAGATCACCAATGTATGATGGTGCTTGTCCATGTAAGGCCCTGAAAACCTGAGGTCGTTTTTCCCATCTGTGAAGAGTGTTGTATGTTCTGCAGAATGAAAACATTGATGCTTGACCATGAGAATTACAATGTTTTTAAGAGCAGTCAGTGCTTTTCCTGCTTTTGGTCCCTTACCAATTTTCACCATCCTACACAACCCCGACCAGAGAGTCCGAGCAGTTCGGGGCAGGCACATATTTTCACACCTTGTCATTTTTGCATGAGACAGTTGTTCATTTTGAGACTACGGTCTGATTTGCAGCCCTAATAGAGGTGTTAAGCCACTCGCACAGGAAATGAAACTAACTACGGTCACTATAAGCATTGAGCCCACAGCTGAAATGAGGAGTCCAAAAAGTCCCAGTGCGCTGCGCTGGGTGACTGAAAAGGCATCCAGGAAGCAGTTAGCTTCTCCAGTTGCACCTTGAACGCAGCATAAAATGTTTGTTATATTGTTGGACAAAAGCCCCGGTGTTGCATTTAGCAAGCAGAGGAAAGTGAGCCGTGGTGCTCTCTCAGCAGCAGCAACATTTGTTCAGACTGCTTACACACTTATCCACGTAAATAAAAATTGATGATGCATTTCCTTTAATGTTTAAGATTGAAACCAGTTTATTATATTTACAGGTATTGCCATTATCCCGCCCATTTAACTTCACACGATTAAGGCGTTTTTGAGCATCAAATTACAACTAAACACATCACAGATCATTTCAGATTCCCTTTCTGAAGTAAAAACACTAAACAGAGCCTGTGTAGTAAATCATTATGGGTGTCAGGGACTTTTTTTAAAGGATGAATGAAAAAAAAGTCTGTGCCAGTGATTCAAAAGCTACATCAACAGCCAGCTGACCTCTGCTGCACCACCTGTGAGGTGCCACGTATCTCTGGTCTCAGTCACATTCTCCACATTAGGTCCGGCTCCAGAGCGGTCAGACGGAAAACACACAATAATTTTTCTCCCGAGCTTCTCCTGCCCACGTTTTGCTCATGCTCGTTATGTCCCCACAAAGCAGGATGTGTTCTCCTTGCCCGTTTCGTAGATTAGGATCTGAGCACGCCACACATTGATGCACAATCAAATAGTAACAGTCATGCTCGGGCGTCTGATAGGGAAGACTTAACAACTAACTAATAATGTGCTCAGACAGTCAGGTCACTTTCCTTCCGTGTGGTCAAGCTCCTTCCATCTGGACATCCCATGCCTTTGAAGTGCAGAACAATGATGATGAGACGGAGAAGCAACTGTTTGTCTGGTTCAGCTGAGGTTGAGGACTGATGCACATGACTTGATTTATACAATGTATTCAGCTCTGTGTGGGTTTTCAATCGGATAGCGGAAGTAAAAAGAGTAAATAAGCTCCATGCTTCAGTTGGGAGCTTCGATGGAAAATTCGTTGTCTGTGTGAAAAAGGGTGATGCCTGGAAGTCTGACGCACCCTTCTGTGCCACGGCTCACGTCTTCATTCTTTTTCACCGTGTTTGTTTTGGACCTTCACATCTCTCTATCCCCTACAAAGCTGCCAGCACATCGTGCTGAGGCACAGTTTACTGTACGCTTGTGGAAGTCCTCACACCTCATACAGTAAAACATTGTTTTTATTCCTTCAGATCTTTTCCCAGCAGAGACGGTTACTGGAAAATTTTTAGAATCCATTGACTTTTATCCCTTTTTCCTTAGCTACGTGCTCCAAAATGGGATTATGTTCCATAATCAGAACAAACGCTCTTCCCGTCATCAAGTTTTTCCTTTAGATAATCAGACTTTCACTCAAAGCCAGACAAGGGAAATCCAAACCGTCTGAACATATTTGTTGTACTGTATATCTGATCATCTTGGTGGCAAAAAATCTTTACAAGCATCTACAGTTTTATCTTCTCCTATCAAAAAATAAACTTCTTCATCCGCAAATGAAAATGCAGGTTGGAATAAGAAACAAAAAGGTCTTAGTTTAGCTTATTTTGTTCAAATTTAATGACGTATTCTTTACTGTGGACTATGGAAGCTTTGTAGTTTGCAGGCAGCGTTTGATACTGTTGACTTTGGGTTTCTTATCTCATTAGATTAGAACAGCACTAGATTGGTTTTGTTCTTTCCAGAGTTACAAGTGCGTCTGCAGTAACACTGAACATTTTCTGTCCGCTCCAGCTCAGTTTTCCTGTGGGGTCCCACAGGGTTCAATCCCTGGACCTCTTCTATTCTCCCTCTTACTGCTCCTATTTTAAGGAAAATGCTATGCAGATGACTGCCAGATTTATCTGCCTTTAAACCCAAACACTTTTTCAAATTACAAAAGAAAACATTTTGGATGATGACACAAGCTGCAACATCCTACTTCCTTCCCTTTCGGGCACTTCGTTTAACATACTCTAACACATTTCCGATAACAAAAACAAATCAACTGTTCTTCTTGAGGTAGGTGGGGTAAATGCACTTGTGACCAAATTACTTCTAATTCCTCCTATCTCAGGTCCCCTCTAACTTTTACTGGCATGTGATCCCAAACATACATTGCCACTCTTGCCCCATTTATATTGCGATCAGTTGCATATATATTGTACCCCAATATACTCAATAAAAGAAGCTCCGGTGCACCTCTTCTGTACGTTCATTCTGTGTATCTTTTTAACTTGCATCTCCTGGTTATTTTTAAAATGCTAAAGGTTAGCTTCTTCTACTAGTCGAGACGTTCTCTGCTGTTTTCTGAATGCTAACCCAACAACAGCCTTCCCCAATGCAAATCAAGGTGGGTGAGTCCATGAAAATTTAGTGACAGTGTGACGTAGATCTGTCAGGCTTTTCTAATCCTGCGTTTCACCGTCCATTTTCTTTCAGAAGCTAATGCAGGAGATAGGTGTGACTCAGAGTGATTGATTATAATCAGAAATAATCATTAAAAAACATTTATTTAGAGAGGCACTACTTAAAAAATTTATTTTTAATGTTCAATCATACGGTGGGAAGTTTGTTTCACAACATCTTTTTAACATTTTTAGTCTATTTTTGGTTTTATAAGCTTTTAATTTATTTTATTCTTGTACCTCTTTGGTGCTGTTTAACTCGTTTTTATCGCTTTCTGTGTGTGTTCAGTTTTTACATTTCACTATTGTACAGCACTTTGCGTTAACGTGTTTTTTATTGTTGTATATAAATAAATTGGATTCAATTGAAACCTTGGAGGGAGTTTGTTCTTGTTTTGTGCCTCTATGGTTGTGACCCAGATAAATTATCAGTTGGTTATTTGTTCTCCACTGCAGTTGCACTTTCAGGACAGTAGGAAATGTATTCAGACACTGGATGCACTGGAGTAACCCTTGCTATCAAGTTTAAATCTTAAATCTCAAATTCTGACCTCGTAAAGAGAAGGTGATGAAACGTTGTCAATCATTAAGTAATTTTTTTTTTACAAATTGATCATGATTCGAAGTCTTTGGGAGATGCAGACTGATATTAAATCCTTGTTTTGCGGAAAACTCAAACACATGTTCTGGAAAAAGAAAAATCATCTCTTTGGATTCAAGTGCTTTTTTCATGTAAAAGTAATATCTGGAGATTTGCCTCTTTGATTTATTTTAGTATAGTATCACAGTAAAATAACTGATTTTTATTCATCATTTGTGATTGAATTTACACTAATTAGAAACTGGCTATAATTTAAAATTAACAGCACTCTGTGCCGTAAAAATTTGATGCAAAAAAGCAATAAATCTGGAAAATCCTGTCAGATTTAATGTTTAAACCTGAAAAGGATTATACAAGAACACAAAGTGACATTTTTGTTTAAGAAAATGAAATTTTATTTCAGAGACGTAGGCCTTCAGTGCAAATCAGTAGCAACAAGCTGCCATTTCACCATCGTCCAATGACAGAACACAGTTTCTCCAGGACAAGAAGTCACACAGAAGAGTTCTGCTGCTTAGACAAGAGCAGACATTCCTATTTTCCTTTGCCAGAATTCAGTGACTAAAAATAGAGAAAAACTAAACAGAATGGGGATGAATGACACTGTACGCTACATCAGATCAAAAGTCATTGTCAGCGTCTTTAGTATACTGTACTTATTACTCTGCAAAATGTCCAGTTGTTCAGCTCTCCGAACACATAAAAAAGAAATAAAATAATGAATTTCAAGAAAAAACATTTGCTAGCATGCAGCCAACAGTTTCAAGTAAACTATAAAGGTTAAGACACAATTTCTCATAATTTCACTTATTCACTTGTCTGATCTCATTTAAAGTTGCAGGTCAGACACCATGTAAAAATGTACGCACACAATTTAAAATCTCCTATTGACCTAACAGACATGTTAAATTTTTCTTTTTTATTTTGTAAGTTTTATGTTTTTTTACTGTGGGAGGAAACCGGAGCGCCCGGAGAAAAAATCCCAGCACAAGTAGCTTGTGGTTTTCAGACTGAGGCGATAGTGCTAACCACTGCTCCACATTGCAGCCATAAATGCTAATTGTTGTAAGAATAAAAATGATTTTTTTCCCATAAATAAACAACAAATGTTTAAGTTCTTAATGACAAAATATACATAGTAAAAATAAATCTGCTTCAAATGAATTTTTTTACATAAATAAAAAAGTATAAATAGAAAAATAAATAAATAAATAAGTAAATATTAACTAAATTCTAAAACCTATTTAACCCAATCGTTAGAGCTCGGATGTCCTCTCTTTCAGGATGATGGTGGGGTTGATGTCACTGGCTTGGGCGTGGGATGTGCTTGAGTTGATGACCGTGGGCCCGGTTTCTTTAATGTCGGGCACATGGAAGGACGCCACGGGACAGGGGCCCTGCACGTTGTTGCAGACGAGCTTCTGCAGGGAGGCGCTGTTGACGATGTCGAAGCCCACGCTGCCTCCAAAGGTGCTGGGCTTCCAGTACTCCGGGGAGCAGATGGGATTCCCCATCAGGCCTTTGAGTGAGAAAGGAGCGCCCATCTCCACCATCGTCTCCCCGAAGATGGCGTTGGGTCGGGGTTTCTCCACCAGCAGACCAGGGTAGAGCTCCACGGCATCTACATCACCGTACATCTCCTCCAGCAAGGCAGCCATTTCTTTTTCGCCTGATGAAAACGAACAGAACGGTTTTAAGACTTAGTTTAGGTTCTAAATAAGTCCAACATCAATGTGAAACATGTCTTCTCTCTGTGCGGCTGGCTTCTGTTTACCTCCCTAGAGACACAAACTGTTTCTTTGCTAATAAAGTTAGTTTTCATCTACTATAAATTCTCCTGCTGTGAGTTTTATGCCGTCTGCTGTGAAGCAGCGAGCCTCAGTGTGTTTACATCTTGCTCTTTGTGATGACATTCTGTTTACGCTACATCAAGATTAAATGGACGTCTGGCTTTTAGAGTCATGGAAATAAATACCTAACCTCCAAAGCTGCAAGGGTATGAGTGCAGATCACTTCCTTAATAATGAGTAAACTGTGGCGTGAGCTGCGTTCAGCGGACGGACGTGAAGCAATGGTATGAAACCAAAGTACCCGAAATTCTTCACAATTCTCTTACGTCACATTTTCCGAATACAACTGAAAAGTTTTGTAATGAGTTGATCTCACCTGTCAGGTCTTCAAAGGAGCTGTAAGGCTTCATGGAGAATCGCTTCCTGTAGGCGTTGAGGGACTGGTAACGCATCTGCCTGCTTTGCTCAATGGACTTCATGGCCACATACAGGATGGGTCCCGGCACATTACGGCCACCAGCAACCTGTCAGATAAAATTCACATTAATCCCGGAGGTTTTAAAACCGTAGAGGGGCCACAGCCTCAATGTTGCTGCAACAGCTCTTACCCGTCCTGCAATCTGATTGGTGAATGACTCCACCAGGCTGCTGATGCCGTGCTCAGTCATCACAGAGGTGTTAAAGATAAACTCTTTGTAGCTGTAATCTCTCTTCTCCACCTGGAAGCTGTCCGGCATCAGTGGGTGCCAGTGGTATAGCATGTTGAATTCAGATGCGATGCGGTTTTGGTACTGGAAGCGCTGGTTAAAGAGCAGCTCTGGGTCAAACTTGAGTTTGAAGTGGTACCCACTCAGGTGCTGCACGTAGTCCTCAATCACAATCTTAATGGTCTCACCTGACGGATAATAAAAAAAAAAAGGTTGATATATCTAATTTGCATGTTTTAAAAGGTTTTGAGAGCAGAGTTAAAAATAAAAGTAAACAAAAATGCTTCCTTATTAAGATGCTGAACAGAAACTGTAAAACCAGTTTCTGCTTCTCTGAATTTGCAACAATGCATCAATGATTGCCAAAACGAAGAGCGCAGCTTCCTCAATTCAAAACCTTTGCTTCATGCAACCTTCTCATTATTTGACTTTTCCAGCAACAAAATAGGAAGTCCTTTATATTCCTCTTTGCGGAAACTCCTTGAAACTCACCAATAAGGATGAGTCGGGAGGTCTGGAAGAGTCTTTCGTCATCCCAGTCTGGGTGGACTTCCTTCAGGACGTCACAAACCCGGTTGTGTTCACGGAGCCAGATGGTGGCGTACATCATGAGTCCAGGGACCAGACCGAAGGCCTCATGGCCGACGGCCAGGCGCTGAGAGTCTGGGACATGAGGGGGGTAGTGCATTTCAACACCCACATCCTTGACTGTTGGAGGGTACACCTCTCCGTTTATTACCTGTGGAGATACAACAGGAACAAACTGTGAGACACGGATGAAAGTGGGACACATTTAACCACCAGAAGTGCACCTGTCTGTCACCTTTCCTACCTGATATTTAAGCTTGCCGTCCTTGAAGAGCCTGAGCTTGTGCTGCTTCTCCAGGTCAACACCGTAGACGTGACTCAGGTCCACCTGAAAACACAGAGACACAACATTGAGCCAAAGATTTCAACTGAAGGTTTGCTCTTTTTGTTTGTCCGATACATAATCTGCTGTACTCACCCCGTGACCTTTAGACACGGTGAAAGCCGGTCCGTTCTTCATATCAGATTTAAAGAACTGGTGCGTGAAGTGTTGTGCAAAGAAGGCAAACATCAAGCTGGTACCCTGTGGGTCTGGAATGAACTTTCTCCTCACCAGGAGCTTCTCAGCTAAAACCTTCACATCCGGCAGCTCTTTTTTACCTGGAAGCAAAAAAAAAAATGAAGCAGAACAATGAGCTTTAAACATGACACCACACAGACGGAGGACAGTTCCTGTGTAAAACTCCCAAAATGTTGTTTTGTTGTTATCTATTTTGGTCACCATGGCAGATTTTTGGTGTTCCTTCCTGTGTGAAGGAAAACAAAAAGAAAACACCAACTCTGTTTTCTTCCAGGTGATGTAATGGGACCAAGACGTTATTGCGCAGTATTTAAGAATCTAAGAAAACTGGTTCTGCTGAGGCAAACAGTGTCCTCACCTACGACTCCCATAGGGGTTGGGCAATCCTGCGGCACAGGTGGGAGGGCACGTGTGTAGTAGGACAGGTTGGAGTAGGCTTCCCAACTTTTATAACCATAATGAGCATTGTAAGTGGGAGGGCTGTCAATCATGTGGGATCGAGCTGGGATTAAGAAAAAAAGACAATATTATTGATATACACTGAAACAAGAGCAAGACTTCATGTGAGCTGAGGGAACTTACACGTCAGCACATATCTCATGATGGCATCTCTGAGAAAGGAAATGCTGTTGATGATGTTCCAGAAAGCCTTGAAGTGGGTGAGAATGTGGTGAACGGTGTTAGGCGATGGCTTCAGGGAGACTTTTATCCTGGTGAGGAATTCAGCTGTGGAGAACGAGTGGAGGATGAGTGAACAAGTCTGGACAAGAGGCAGCTTTTAGTTTTAAATTCATTTCATGCCTGATCTTGGTTTTACTTACGCGTTGTGCAGTTTTGGCCATAATATCCAGTACGTGTGCAGTCACATTCATATCTGTCTGCTCCCATTGCTGTGCACACACCTCTGTTCTGGCATGGCTCTGAGCAGCAGGGGTTACCTGTTAACACAGTTAAACTTTTACTAAGAAATCGATGCAGTGTTCGTTTAACCAGGGTGGTTTATTGCTGCTAAGTATTTAATTTCATCCTTAGAATTAAACCGACACAACACTCTTAAGTTTCTCTAACTAAGATACATTTTTTAATTCTGAGGGAAAACTCCAATTGTTGACTTACCTCCTTCGCAGACAAAGCACAGAGCCAACAGGGACAACGCAAATGTGAGTCTGTTCATACTCCAAAAGCTCCGGCGCATTATTTTTGTTCTAAATCCTTTCTCTCCTCTCTCTGATAATCGTCAATGTGTGAGCTCTCAGACATGCGCTTCTCTATATATCAGGAGCTAGTGACGTAATAGCCACGCCCCTTAAAATAAAGAATGAAGAAATTCTCTGAAAATTAAAAGATTTTATTATTTATTTAAAGACTCTGCTCCTTGGGAATTTCTTCGTCCTCTTATTGATTTTGGCTCCTCGGTCAGTGAGAGCTGTTGCTTCACCAGGTTTCCATTTTTCCAGGTTTCTCACCTGTTGATCCAATGTGTTACAACACCTGGCATCAGAACATCCATCTCCTCCTGGATCCCAAAAGTGGACTCTAACCCTGCCTGATAAACCATTTTCAGCTTTCCATCACTTTTCTGGGTTTCTTGTTAAGGTAGGACGCACGTCTGCCGGAAGATATATAAGAGAGTGAAAATACGGAAAACAGCAAATAAAAATTTTGTTTATTTGAAATAGGAAAACTAGTTAACTGAGAAATGGAAAAAAATAAGACAGGGCGTTCTGTGGTGATTACACATTTTGTTATTTGTATTTACTCATGTTTTCTAAAAGTCCCTTGTCTAATTATCATATTTTATCAAAATCGTTTAATTGCCTTAATTGAATAGTTTTTAAGAAGAACAGCAGGTGGAAAGTGAAATATAAAAATGCATTTACAATAATAAAGACTGCTCTTCTAAAAGTCTCAAAGAACTTTTAACCATATATGGAATAAAAACTATAATTAGAATAAAAATCTGCAGCAGGTCTGCTCTACATTATATATTTGAAATAAAGTTATCGTCAATGAATCATCCTTATTAGTAATAATATTAAAAGGGAGAAAAAGTTAGTCAGTGCCCCCGCGTGGAGGAAGTTGCGCAGTGGAGCGCAGTGTGGAGCAGTTTGACGCACGTCAGCCGCAGTTTTGTCTGCCGAGTCAAACTTTTGACCCTTCTTTGGGATTTCCTTTCCACGACGATTTTCCTGCAACGTAATTGTTCTTTATTTGACTTTTGAATCATTTTGTCAGTTTGCCCACCTTTCTCCACTTTGGTGTGATCGCGAATCTTCCTGCCTGACCGACTGCCGGGTGTGAGTGCCGAGAAGCGCCTCCTTATTTTTCTATTTCTACCAACATGGCACATTTAACAGGATTCATTAGTTAGTAACGTCGTCCCGCTGAGGTATGTTGCGCTTCCTTCTGTTTACACATAAATGCTGGTGTTCATTAAAGAGAATTCATGTTTATTGTGGGGATGTGGAGTAAAGGCTGCTTTGAGCCTCTCTTCTGGCACAATAAAGTTACATTTGAACTGAAAACGCACAGCTGCATACGCGATTCAAATATTATGAATTAAGGCAGATGTGTACAGATTAAATACAGAAGGGGGAGATCGAGACTTATTAATTTTCTCACCTATTCTGATCTCTGTTTTGGATTTTTACCCTTCAAGGTTAGGGTTAGGGATGCATTAACAACATTGAAAGTTGCACATTCATTCACCTGCCAGCCCCTTTCTGTTCAGATAATAAGAATCAGGCAGAACCAGTTGGTGATGTCCTTTGACTTGTTTCCAACTTTAAATGCTTTAAATGCTCTTAAGAATGCACATGCAGCCAATCCTGTTGTCTTAAACTCTAAGGTGGAAGTGATGCTGCACGAGGAAGCATTATGTGTGTCTATTAAAAGGTGCATTCACTGCAGCTGTTTTGCATCATGCAATGTTGCTATTGGCCCTTCTCACACATATGCAGCCTCATATGAAAATTTAGTGCTGGGAGGTCTGAGTTATTTTGGCTCAGGAGCAGAGCTCAGCCACCTCTTTGTTCTGAATGCTGCAGAACACGGTCAGTGCACTGAGCTGGCAGCCTGGCACTGCCAAAAGTTGGACTCCTGCTGCAAAGTACGTGACGGCTGCTGTGAACACACAGACTCTCTACGTGCTCTGAGTCCCCCCGAATAACCACACGCATTGATGAACAGCTGAGAAAAGGCTGAATAAGCTCGATATGCTTTTGTCACTCATGCAAATTCCTGAACATCGTAAAGATAAATCATTAATGTAGCTAAATACAATCACCTCATCTACAAATACACACTGAGCTCTGTATTTTACTGTGGAGTACTATATAAACACATCTTTATCAAATATACTCAGCCCTTTCTTGGCATCTTATGCACGCATCACACACATACCCACACACACACACACACACACCGCATCATTGCATTCCCTACTGCCTTGCTCTGACTTTAAACAAGGAGAAAAGGAAACAACGGGGCGGATGAACAGATGTTCACATATAGTCCTGCCTGATATGGTCCATTTTGAGCTGCTTTTTGAAGGAGAACAATGAAAAAAAGAGAATCCCAGAGTCTCAGTCATGGGATTAAATGTTCTGTCACCAGCTCTAACCATCAACACTAACTCTAATCATGGCTATATTTATACCAAGAGCTAACTTGAACAATCCCTTTGTACATACTAATTGGTTCTCACATCCCCCTCATTTACACACACACACACACACACACACACACACACACATGCATGATAATACGTCTTCTGCCTGGTTTTCTTATCATGAATTTGTGGCTAAGCACACTTCCTCTTAGCCCTGCCAAGATGCAATAGGCTGTACTGATATGCTTCTTCAGCTAAGTGGAATTTTGTTTGAGGAAGTTCTGAATGCAATTTTCAGTTGTTGCAAAGAGTACTTTTGTTTTTCTGTATTATTATTCTTTACCAGTGCTTTAAAGTCTTAAATTATGTTTGCATTTCTTTGTTGCAGACTCTGAAACTGAGATGTTCTCCTGAGTAAAAGTTCAGATCTAGTTGAAGACTTCCCTAAATTACTCCGCAGAAAACACAATGGCGACCAATATAATTGTGAGTACAGCAAAGAAGAAGATACCAAACTCTGAACTATATCCTTGAAGCATTTAATGTTTTTTAGCGGTAGAGTGAGTTTCCTTCTTTTACTACAAGTACAAATAATGCAGCTATTGAAAGGTCAACACCAAGGTCGAATCGATTAGAACTGTAGGGATTGTCAGCGTTGTTTTGAAGTTTTGAATATCTGCATGAGATTATCTGTCGGATGCATTCAAAACATTGTCATGCTATTTCACCTCTGTCAGTTTCTCACTCAGCATGTTATATTTTAGGTATTAACCAGGTGGTTGATGCTCAAGGTTTTTATATAGATAAATGCTAATAAAAAAACACACAAATGACAGATTTTGTAACTTATTTCCATTACGAATCATGCAACCTCGTTATGATCCTGAATGTTAATAAACTGCAAAATCAACAGTGACGCATCATATAAATCCCCTTTTGTCTCTTAAAAACACAAATGAAAAATTGTATACATATGAACTGATTTCATAAATTCCATGGGGTGTAACCGATAGGTGCAGACAACGATAGATAGGTGAGACTATTTCTAATAATAGCAAGAAAAACAAGTAATTTACATTTGTGAGAGGTGACTCAACTCACAGGTTTTGTGCACACCAAAATGTGGACAACTCAAACATCATTCATCTGTGGGAAGCAGTTGCTGCATAAATGACGGTGGAAAAATTTTAATTAGTATAAGTTGAAAGTGCTTGGAAAGTTTTAAGTCTGAGTTGTCTTTAAGTGGGCATACACTCATTAGAATGAATGAATGACTGCGTTGTGAAAGGTTGTGGAAAAAACGCAGTGGAGAAAAGCTCTTGTGCTTCAGGAAGTACAAGTTAGTTGGTGGCGTGGGCGATGGATAACGGCAGGATTTTTAGTAGAGGCAAACCAATGTTTTTTGAAGGCCGATGCCAATACCGATTTTTAAAGAATTTACTTGCCGATGGCCGATATCTAAAGCCGATTATTAAGGCCGATATAAATACGTATTAGCAGCACATCGATTGTGAAAGACAACTGAACACTCACTGAGTGCAACATAAATTAAATAAGTCAACACATCTCTTAATATTTATTGAACTTCAAATATAAAACAAACTCAAAACATAAAAAAATGGTGTGTTGGGGTCCTTTGGGTCCTTTCTTCAGTCTAGTAGTGGTGGTAGTTGGTCACACAAGTGCCTGATTTTAATAAAAATAAATTTTATCGGCTATTAAAAGTCATTTCGGCCGATGGCCGATATAGAAAAAATCTGAATATATCGGTCGGCCTCTAATTTTTAGCCGTGTTCATTAATACTCATGATAAGTGAACATTTGGCCTCTGATTAGCTAACAGCAACATGACTCTTCCACTGCCTCCATTCGTTCTACAGTCTTGGGTAAAAAATATGCAGCATTGATGTTTTATCTCCACAAATAACACAAGCTTGAAGAAGTGATGCCATGTGGTGGAATTGCTAATGCTAACAGTTACCTTCTACTAGCCAAAACATGCATTGCTTTCTCCTGGATGCTAAATAAACAGCAGCCTTCCATGGTCACAAACCACTGTGGACGGGGCCATGAATGCAAATTTCACACTAGGACATAGATCTGTGAGCTTTTTCTGACCCGATCGTTTATCCGTTCATTTTCTTTCAGCGGCTAATTCAGGCAATGGAAGACTGTTTTCCATCCTGCATGCTTGTGAAACTCAGAGTGACTGATCATATTTAAGAAAGAACAAGACCACACGTTTCTCAATGAACACCACCTTTAATGATTGGAATGTCAATATTAAATGTTATAGCTTTTAGCATGATTTCCTTCTCAATCTATGAAAAGTCATCAAATTGCTGTCTGCTGCAAGTCAGACGCTGACTAGTCGTTAGTACTCCACAAAACCCCACTTCAACCCAACAAAGCTTTAATTTCAAAGTGAAATCTTGTCATTTTAGAACAAATTTTTGTATTTGCACGTTTGCTTGTTAATAAACTATTTATCCACACACGTGAACCAGAGTTATGCGTTGTTAGAGTCACCTGATGTTCTGACAAACTGGAAATGTGCTGTGAACATACCGATGTTAGGACTGTGTTACTCATGCAGATTTGTCATGGTGGTTTGACAACAATGGATCTAAACTGAACTGATTGAGTCCTCGCATTGCAGGTGGAGCATCAGATTTCTCATAAATTTACAGTGACGGTGGTTCGGGCGGAGAACGTCACCAAAGGAGCGCTGGGTGACCTGTGTGAGTCCTTAATTCGATTTTGTTTTAAATATGCTGCATGCTTGGATTACTTGGAGCTATGGCATTGTTGGAATGGAGTTCAAAGTTATCTGAGTTTCTAATGGGCCATTCCCATCTGTACCGGATCGGCCCGGGCCGGGTAGCATAGGTTGTTTACATATCTGGGTGGCCTGGTATTTTTCCGGGCCAACCAAGGCTCATTCTCAGCCCTCTTCTCGAGGGGGTCTGCTTCAGGCCGACCAGGGCCAACACACCCACTGCTGACAGCAAATTCACACCTTCCATTAGAGCAAGCCTCTGATTGGTGGGTAGAATCAGCCCACATGGGCTTAAGACAAGGATGTGTGGAATCAACCGGGCCAGACTGGGGCTGACTGGGGCTACCCGGCCTGGGCCGACCCGGTACAGATGGGAATGGCCCATATTGTCACTCAAATGTGTGTGATGTGGTTTCTGCTGTTCAGTAAGACATCTGAATATGTCTGTGCTTAGTGGATACCCCAGATCCTTACGTGGAGCTGTTCATCCCGACGGCCCCAGAGAGCAGGAAGAGGACCAAACACATAGATAACAACATCAACCCCATATGGAACGAGACCTTTCACTTCATACTAGACCCCAACCTGCCAAATGTCCTGGAGGTTAGACCTGCATTTCATTTAGTCACCTCAGGATGAGATGCAAAAATGCATTGAAGTGTGAATCCATGTAAACACAGTTTTCTATCTTTAGACTGGTGTGAGGTAATGTAGAACTAGAAAAATTGCATTTATTGCACAAATGCTGTTTGAATGCTGGATAGCTGAAACTGTAAGCTGAAGCTGCTTAACAGCTGAACTGAAGCTGAAACTAAGCTAAACTGTCAAATGAGCTGAATGTAGTGAAAGATGTGAAAGCAAAAAGCACCAACAAGCAAATAAAGTACAAAAAGTAAGTGAAGAATCAAGAAACCTAATCCTGAACAGCAGAAAACTGAAATCTGTGAACATTGTTTAAAAAACTGGACATCTAAAACATCTAAACACCTGTTATTTCAGTAGGACTATTTTAACAGTTGCATTTTTACATTTAGCTGAACTGTGAAATTAGCATCATATGCTGAATTCAGAAACTAATTGCTGAAGCTGCTGAATAGCTCAAGTGAAGCTGAAACTAAGCAAAACTGTTAAAATGAGCTGAATGTTTTGAAAGATTTAGAAGCAAAAAGCACCAAAATGTAAATAAAGCACAAAAAGTGAAGAACGGAGAAAACAATCCTAAACAGCAGAAAACTGAAATCTGAACATTATTTAAAAATCTGGACAGCAAAAATGTCTAAACACTTGTTGTTTGAGTAGGACTAGTTTAACAGTTTAATTTTTATATTTAGTTAACTGTGAAATGAGTAGCATAAGCTGAATTCAGAAACTGATTGCTGAAGCTGCTGCATAGCTGAAGTGAAGCTGAAACTAAGCTAAACTGTCAAAATGAGCTGAATGTATTTAAAGATTTAGAAGCAAAAATCACCAACAAGTGTAATAAAGCTCAGAATATAGGTAAAGAATGGAGAAAAATGCTAAACAGCAGAAAACTTTAATCTTTGAACATTGATTGAAAAGTCGAAATTTGAAATGTTAAACAGCTGGCCTTTGAAAGAGAATAGTTTAACGGGTACATTTTTACAATTGGCTGAGCTGTGAATTTAGAAATATTTGCTGATATCTGAAACTGATAGATTAACATATGTTAAGATTTGATATGGGATGGATGAATGGTTGGATGAATGAAATAACGGATGGATTGTTGGATGGATTTTAGATGGTTTATTGGATGGATTGATGGATGAATGGATGAATGGATGGATGGACGGATGGACGGACAGATGGATTTATATGTGGATGGATGGATTCCTTAGGCCAAGCCGATCGATTTGATGTCTCACATGTGTGGGTGTGTAATTTCATTTAGCCAGAAGATGATTGACCTCTCTCAACCAATCAGGGGGCTGGGTGGGAGTGGCGCACTTTCCCATCTTCTGAAGGTCAATCAAATTGAACTTGTTTCTAGTTTTAAGTACAAACAGTTAAAAAAGATCAAAAACAGGAGTCTGTTATTGGCTCAATATTCAGCTTTTTATATTCATTCCTATGAGACTTGGTTAAAGTGATTTGTAGTTCCTTGTGTTGCCATGGTAACAGATGACATGAGTCTGCATGAATAAAGCAATGCACAATGTCACATGACTCTTTTAAACTTTGAATAACATTTCTATATTAAAGTATGTTGATAAGTTGTGTCTAAAATGTTGTCAAATGTTGTTGCTAAGCACGTTGCCATGGTAACACAGAACACAATATCAAGTTAATACAAGACTCCTGGGACCAAGCAGGTTGAATTGATGTATGATACGTGTGGGTGCATATTTCCTTTTAGGCAGAAGACGATTGAAAACTCAGCTAATGAGAGAGCAGCGAAGGAGGAGGGGGCGGTTCCTGCCTTCTGACTACTGTTAAAATGTCAGCTATGCTGCTAGTTTTAAGTGTATAGAGCTCAGAAAGATAAGAAACAGCAGTATGTTATAGGCTCAATATTAGGCTTTTCACATTCATTTCAATAAGACTTGTTTGGCGGTATACTTATGCACTTGTGTTACCATGGTAACAGATAACACATTTAAAATTGAATACAAGATTCCTGAGACAAAGCTGGTCGATTTGATGTGTCATATGTGTGGATGCTGGATCCTGCATGGACAGAAAATGGTTGAGCACTCTCAACCAATCAAAGAGCAGCACTGTTTCCCCGCCTTTCCCCCGGCTGTTGGAGGCCTGCAGCTGTACTCCTGTTAATGAGAGAAGCCTTTAAATCTGTCCTTCAGAAGTGAAATTGGACCTGTCAATGTTCTCATCACCGTTTGAAAAGTATTGCACAGATTTGAAAAATTCAAAAAGTTTGAGCGGCAGAAGGCTTTGATGGTCATCTGTGTGAATTTTTATGTGCCTTCCATGAATTGTCTAGAAGCTATGATGAGAACATTTTAGCTGTCTGAAGCCGATCAGAGGAGAAAATCTCTTTTCCTTTAACATGGGTTTCAATGAGACAGAATCAGGGTCTCTCCTCCTTCTGAGGCTTGTAGTGAAAGAATGGTAACACTTACAGATAAAATGAAACCCATTCTGATTTCCTACTTTTTGAGATATAATTTGTTTTGTTAGTCCAAACGGTCTGGGGGTAGTAAAGAGTTGTTCACAGAAGACGTGAAGTTCAAAAGTTAGAGTGCGGAATTTTCAGTTTAGAGTGGTGGGAAACATTTTTTTAAATTTGAATTTTCTCAAACAAATGAACCGTACGACCACAATGTTTGGAGTACAGTCATGAATTATAGCTCAAAACGAAGGTATATTCGTTAGCTGTAAGCCAGCGTGTGTCTCATTTCAATCGGACCTACGGTTCTCTCGGGACAATGCCAGAAATGGAGCAAGGGAGGGTCACCACTTTTGTGAATTTTTCTGAAAATTTCAAGTCGTACCTCAACTTCTACCTGCGATTTCAGAAAAACCGTAAAAGAAAAAAAGCCTCTTTAGTATGTTAAGCAGGAAAGTCTTGTGAGTTTGTTAAACTTTGAATGAAGTTTCTAAGTTAAAAGGAACCCAATAGAGATTTAGGCCAAAAAAGTGATAGGAATTTGCTGAAAATTGACCAAACCCATTCAATTCAATGGGAAAAATTTCGCAGAAAAAGCTTAATAACTCAACATTTTTTAAAGATATCAATGCCAAAAGTAATAGCCGGAAAGAGCTTAACAAGCTGAACGTTTTGATATAAAATTGTTGAAATAGTTACAAATTTGAAGGAGTAGAAAAGGTTCAAAAAGTGTACGGAAGCAGAATAAGAAGAAAACAGGAAAACAATAGTTTGAATGCTTAACAGCATTCAAACAATGAATGCTTAACAGCATTCAAACAATTATCTGCATGGGGAGATAGCACCACACTGACTCACACCGTTTAGTGTCCAGAGGAAAAAGAAAGAAAACTAAGGGTTATCTGAAAATTACACTTATCTTTGTCCCAAAGTGTAATTATTGAAAACACAAGTTACTCAGGTGAAGCAAAACATTGTTTTAACCACAAACTTGGTGCCCCCCCCACCCCCCCCCCCACCCCACCCCACCCAACAGTTAACGTTAATGGACGCCAACTACGTGGTGGATGAAACTCTTGGGACGGCGTCTTTTGAGATAGCCAAGCTCGAAGTGGGCCAGACAAAGAAGCACACTTGTTCCGTTGGCAAAGTAAGGCATTTCATAACATTATTTTCATCATTATTAATATTTTACTATTGATATGTTCACACACATGCTATGAAGGGAAGCGTTGGAACTTCTGGGTAATTTGATTAAAATTCTTGTAAATGGCTGCCAAAGGAAATATGTATCTATGGTTTCACAGGAAATCTGCATGAGACCTCATGTTTTTGATCTAACAGGAAGATAATTATGTAAGTTAGCCTCAGAGAAAATCCCAGATATAAATGAGAAATCACCTATTCTTGTGCCAATGAATAAACATTTGTGTTGAATGAAACTTTAAAAAAATCATAGATAAAAATTAGGGCTAGAATTAAATATTAGGCTGATATTTACCCGTTTTTGTATATCACATCAGTAGAGCCGATTTAAAGTCAGGCACTGCCAGATTTTATTTAGAGAGGTCCTTCACTGAGAAACAATTTTTTACTTATTTGTGAAAAAGATCAGTCACTCCTGAGTTTTTCATGCAGACTAAACATGAAAATAGTCTCCCACACCTATCTCCTGTGTGACAGTGTGACATCACACTGTCACTACACATTCATAGACTCACCCATCTTGCCTCCCGACAGGGAAGGCTGTTGTTGTTTTAGTATCCAGGAAGCACCAGAGAACATCTCACCTAGCAGAAGCTGACTGTTAGGATTAGCAACTCCACCACACAGCAGAACTCCTTCAGACTTGTGTTTTATACGTGGAGATAAAACATCAACGTTGTAGAGTCAGTGGTAGAGTCATGTTGCTTTTAGCCAATCAGAGATGTCCAAATACCAAGAAATGAGACTAAATCCTGTTTTCTGAAGCCACTTTGTCCTCCAGCTGAATTCTCTGTGCTGAAACGTGCATCTGAGCCCCCCCCCCCGCATACGACTTACAAGGCATTCCCACTAGAGACCACTGCAAATGTATTAAAAATATAAGTGAAGGACCTCTTTAATACTCAGAAGTGCACAAAATTAAGATAAAAAAATTGGCAGTAAATGTCGGCCATCGGCTGAACATGACCTCTACATTTGGGCATTGGTATCAGCAAACGAATATGGGTCTTTCTCTAATAAAATATAAAATACAGTTAAATGCAAAGAAGATTCATTTACTTGAGTTGTTTTAAGTTTATTTATAAAAACAATTGAAAAATATAAGAACAAATACCCTAGAGGTAATGGACATCAGCTACCCTAACTACTGTTTTTGTTTTTGACAGGCAACCAAAGTACACTTAGAGATGACACTGGAGATCTGGTATGTACGCACAACTTAAAACAAAAGAGATTACTACGTTTTGCAATAAAAGGTTATCTTATCCTCCCATCACTGCATTAGTAGCAGGTTCCACAAAGTCTTTAATATTTAGTCATTTTATAATCTTAAGATAATTGTCTCACAACCGCTTCTCGGCAGGAACTGTCAAACATGATTTGTGACTTTGTTTTCTGACCGTGGAAACCTTTATGTCCTGCTGTTTGTTTCCGCAGCACAAACCAGGACCTGAGGTTCAGTCTGGCCTTGTGCGACAAAGAGAAGGAGTTCAGACAAACCCGCAAGGAGAGAGTGATGCTCGGGATTAAAAAGCTGCTGGACATGGAGAAACCTCGCTTCCTCCCCAGCTCTCCGGAGGAGGTGGGCACGCAGCCTCACACGCTTGTGTTTTGATCCAGAGCTGAAAAAATACAAACGGCTGTCGGGACGTTTGTGGAAGTAAATCAGAATCAGAATCAGGTTTATTGCCATTGTCAGTGAACAAGCAATTCACAAACTAGGAACTTGCTTCGGTACTAATGTGCTACATATAACATGAATAATAAGATTAAAAATAGAATAAAATATAATTAAAAAAAACTAGAATAAAACTTTCAGCTATAAAAAATGGCAGGTAGTGGTAACATGGCCGATAACGTGACGTTGTGTCGAGTACAGAAGACGAACAAGGTTGTGTGTTTATAAGCTATTCACGAGTCTAACGGCAGATGGAAAGAAGCTGTTCTTATGGCGGGAGGTTCTGGTCCGGATGGACCGTAACCTCCTGCCTGAGGGAAGCGGCTCAAAAAGTCTGTGACCCGGGTGCGAAGGGTCAGCTGCTATCCGACCTGCACGCCCCCGAGTTCTGGAGACGTACAGGTCCTGGAGAGATGGAAGGCTGCAGCCAATCATCTTCTCAGCAGAGCGCACAATGCGCTGCAGTCTATGTTTGTCCCTCACCGTGGCTCCAGCGTACCACACAGCGATGGAGGAGGTGAGGATGGACTCAATGATGGCCGTGTAAAACTGCACCATCATCTGGGCCGGCAGCTTGGCCTTTTTCAACTGCCGCAGAAAGTACATCCTCTGCTGGGCCTTTTTGATCAGGGAGCTGATGGATGGCTCCCACCTAAAACCTCTGATGTTTACTTGAATTCTTAAAATCTTTGTCTAAATCTGATGAATCCCATACTTTCAGTTATAAATCAGCAAATCGTTTCTTCAAAGGAACATCAAAAGCTAACCTGCCCTATAGAACTTTTTCATATTATTATACATAAATTATTTAATTGCTAAATGATATCAGGTTCGTGCCACTTGAAGCTGAACGCTCTTTTACTTTGAAAACTGTCAGCTATTTATGCAACTAAATGTTTAATATGGTGTCAAAATAAGTTGGTGGCAGACTGTTGAGCTTCAGTGCAGGTGCATAATTTATTCATTCATCTATGCTGCCATTTTTAACTGCTTATCTTAAATAGCACTGTTTAGGTAAGGGATTCAGAAGGGAAACCCAGACATCTCTCTCTTCAGCTCCTCCTGGGGGTAAATACTGGAAACTCCCCAGCTTGTGTCATTTTTCACCATCTGTCAAACTTCCAGTTACATTTACCGGGTTACGGCTGTGTCCTAAGGTCATGAAGTCACTTCTTTATGAAAGAAAAACCCAAACAAACAATGAAGTTAAGCTGATATCTGGTTCAGGCAGTCTGTTTAGTCTCTAAATGTAAATTAGTTTTTCTTTGAATGACAGGAAACCTAAACTGAACCCGACTGATTTGTTGCTAACCTGAAAAACAAGAAAGTTGCAGTCTACCGCCACTGCTCCCATTCATTGAGCTAAAGAACACACCCCCGCCCAACCCCCACCCCCTAACATGGCATGACAGCTATTCAAATTTTACAAATGTATATTTTACAAAACGGCTGTATCCTTACTTGTACTTTCAAGCACATGTGTATATTAAATGCTTATTGTGGGATTCTTTGCTCTGTTTCATTCCCATCTCAGTACCCAGTAATAAAAATGACCAAACAAACAGCCCAGAGGATGTAGGCTTGTGGACTTTAGGCACAAATTGAAAAAAACATTTCATCATGTTGATGTTTTAAACTGGGAAGCTCCGACACAAAGCTCTAACCCTTCCTCCAGTGCCTTTGGTTGGGCTTCCCTTCCCGCCAGTGCAGTTCTGGCTAGATGCCTTTGGGGCTAATGCTCATGTTCAGCCAGGCCTGCTCGGCCCTCGTTTTACAGGAAGCTACAGAGGAGGCACGGATCTAGTTACGGCTTTGCTCTGTGAACACAATCACCAAACTCCCCACCTAGGATGACTGTGCAAATATTCAGGATTGATAGAATTAACATGCTACTGAGAGAAGTCTGCGTTGCACAATAAGAATGATGAAGTGGTTGAAAATTTGAAGGCACGAGTTGGGGAGAGGAATGTAGAAAGGCATGATGCAACTGGCTTGGTATTTTCACTGTGCACAGGGAAATTACTCAAGCTGAGGGCCAGAGACGGGCTGAATCTGAAGGTGCTTTATTGATGTTGTAAACCACGTCTGCCATTTGACTTTCTCCCATCCTAACGGCCCCTTTGTGTGTTTTGTAGGTCCCAGTGATAGCCATAGCAGGTTCAGGAGGGGGGTTTCGTGCAATGGTTGGCTTCGCCGGTGTGATGAAGGCCCTGTTTGAGTCTGGGGTCTTGGATTGTGCCACTTATGTTGCTGGTCTTTCTGGATCCACATGGTCTGTTTACACCCCTCTGACTCATTTATTCATTATCCCCTTCTTCTTTCTAAATGTTTTAAAACACAATTAAGGTTTTGATCTTCATCTGTGTTATAACTATAGCTTTTGAAACACTCCTAAGCCTTTATTATCCCATGGTCTCGAGACTTTCTAGTAGTCATATGGAGAGGTCTTCATAATGCTGAAAGTTATTCAAAGGTTTGTTTAATACTGGGTGTGTTTTCAATGACCTAAACTTAAAGGCAGATGTAAGAATGCTAAATAAAAAAATGGATGACAAAAGCGTAAACTAAAAACTCACAAGGGTGGGGGACCAAGGGTACAAAGGAAGTAAATTGTAGTATTTGCCTGGGACTAGGTGAAACTGAGGACCACCTTTACTGGGAGGGGTGATTGGTGAGACAATGAGCAATGATACATTGTACAGATGGAAAACTCAAATCTGACAGCAAAATAAATAAATAAATAAATAATAATAATAATTTGGAACAAGACTGAAAATTAAATGAAAGTAAAAACGTATAAAACCGAGGCAGTTTGGCTGCTCATTTTCTGTCTAATATTTATAATATCCAGGACTGTAGAGGACAAAATAAGTTGTCAGGTCTAATAAAGCTATCTGCAGCTGAAGGTCAGTTTCTGAAATGTCTGTATTTCATAGTGTGGTTCACTGAAAATAAGTTTTAAATGATTATTTCTGATGATAATCGGTCAGTCTGATTTTTTTCATGCTGGCTGAATATTAAATTAGCCTCCTGCACCCATCTCCTGCAACAGTTTCTGATAGATAAAATACGATGAAACTCTAGGATTTGGAAATCCTGACAAATCTACGTCACGTATGAACATCTTAACTCATGACTTGGAAGGCTGTTGTTGGTTTAGCGTCCAGGAAACTGCAGCAAATGTCCTGACTATTTTGAAGCTAACCGTTAGCATTAGCAACTTCACCACATGGCAGAAGCTCCTCCAGACTTGTGTTATTTGTGGAGATAAAACATCCATGTTGCAGGTTATTGGTAGGGTCTAATTGCTGTTGGCCAATCAGGAAATAAGACTCCAAACCCTGTCGTCTGAAGCTCAGCTGTGGTGTGGGTAATTGTTAGTTACTGGAAATGGTGCACCAGTATACACCCCCCACTCCCAATTAGGACTTACAAGGCATTGATTCCTACTAGAGACCACTGTAAATGCACTGATTAAATGAGTGAACCATACCTTTAAGAAACCGGAAAAAATCCAGAATTAAATCCACTTACAGTGGGTACGGAAAGTATTCAGACCCCGTCAATGTTTCACCTTTTGTTACATTGCAGCCATTTGCCAAAATCAATTAAATAATTTATTTCTCATTAATGTTCACACAAAACCCCTTATTGACAGAAAAATGCAGACATTTTGACATTTCTGCAGAGTTCTTTAAAAAGACCAACTGAAATATCACATGGTCCTAAGTATTCAGACCCTTTGCAGTGATACTCAGGTGCTTCCATTTCTTCAGTCATCCATGAGATGGTCCTACACCTTCACTGGAGTTCAGCTGTGTTTGATTTTTATGATTAGACTTGATTAGGAAAGCCACACACCTGTCTGTATAGGACCTTACAGCTCACAATGCATGTCAGAGCAAATGAAAATCATGAGGCAGAAGGAACTGCCTGAAGAGCTTGGGAACAGAATTGTGGGAAGGCACAGATCTGGCCAAGGATACAAAAACATCTCTACTGCACTTAAGATTCCCAAGAGCACAGTGGCCTCCATAATTCTTAAATGGAAGATGTATGGGATGACCAGAACCCTTCCTAGAGCAGGTCGTCTGGCCAAACTGAGCTACCGGAGAAGAGCCTTCGTGAGAGAGGTAAAGAAGAACCCAAAGATCACTGTGGCTGAGCTCCAGAGATGCAGCCAGGAGATGGGAGAAAGTTGTAGAAAGTCAACCGTCACTGCAGCCCTTCACCAGTCAGGGCTTTATGGCAGAGTAGCCTGCCAGAAGCCTTTGCTCAGTGCAAGACAAATAAATCTCACATGAAGTTTGCTAAAAGACACCTGAAAGACCCTGAGATGGTGAGAAATAAGATTCTCTGGTCTGATGAGACCAAGATAGAACTTCTTGGCCTTAATTCTAAGCGGTATGAGTGGAGAACGCCAGACACTTCTGATCACTTGTCCATTACAGTCCCCACAATGGAGCATGGCAGTGGCAGCATCATGCTGTGGGGGTGATTTTCAGCTGCAGGGGCAGAACGACTGGTTGCAATCGATGGAACGATAAATGCGGCCAAGTACAGGGATATCTTGGACAAGAACCTTCTCCAGAGTGCTCAGGACCTCAGACTGGACTGAAGGTTTACCTTCCAACATAACAAAAAACAAAGGAGCGGCTTCACAGCCACTCTGTGTCTGTTCTTGAATGGCCCAGCCAGAACCCTGACATAAACCCAATTTAGCATCTCTGGAGAGACCTAAAAATGGCTGCCCACCAACGTTCACCATCCAACCTGACAGAACTAGAGAGGATCTGCAAGAAGGAATGACAGAGGACTCCAAAACCCAGGTGTAAGAAACTTGTTGCATCTCTACCAAGAAGACTCATGGCTGTATTAGCTCAAAAGGCTTCACCATGTGTTTCTTTTTTAATAAATCTGCATACATTTCTAAAATTCTGTGTTTCTCTGTCAATATGGGGTCATGTGTGTACATCAATTAGAAAATAAATGAATTAAATTGATTTTAGCAAATTGCTGCAATATAAAAAAGTGAAAATTACTATTTTTTGTGCTAAAATACAACTTTATATGTCCGACTGTGTTATCTTTAGTACATTATTCATTGACTTGACTAAATAAAGGGGAACATGTTGTGTCTGCAGATACAAAGTGCAAGATCCTGTTTAAAACGGGTTCTTTGTCAAATTTTGTGTTTTGTGAGAGACACAAAACTGGTTTGTCCCTCAAGTTTAGAAACCTTTTCAAGCTTGAATGTTTTATGTGTCAGATTTAAATGACCCAATAATAAAACAATCCTCAGAAACAGGTCAGGTTATGGACTGTAAACGAGTGCAAAAGAAGCTAAGGTTCAAAGAAAGACCTTCAGAGAGCTTAAAAGACACATCCCTCATGACCTCTGCAAAAGTCTGTGAGGCAGTGTGTTTGTTTTTATTCCCACTTCCTTTCCTTTGGTTTTGTTTTTCTTCGCTCCGTCAAACTTTCCTTCCTTTCACTTCTGAGTTTTGGCTTAGATCACACTTGTCAACTTCCTTCTAAAACACGATTTCTCCTTTTCTCCTTGCAGGTATATGACCACTCTGTACTCTCACCCTGACTTTCCAAATAGAGGCCCAAAGGACATAAACAGTGAGCTGATGAATCGAGTCAGCAGCAACCCGCTGAGGCTGTTGATGCCTCAGCACGTCACCAACTACATCCAGGCACTTTGGACTAAAAAAGCCTCTGGACAGCCTGTTACCTTTACCGATATATTCGGTATGCTCATAGGAGAGACTCTCATTCCTGCGGTAGGAGTCAGCTTATTACTGTACTTTATTTCTCTTTAGTTTCATTTACTCTGTTTTAGCCTTCTTGTATCACAAAATCAAAAACATCCCTTCCTTTCAGAGGATGCACATCAAGCTGAGTGGCTTTCAGGAGAAAATAAACCAGGCTCAGAGTCCTCTCCCCCTCTTCACATGTCTGCACGTCAAACCAGATGTATCAGAGCTCATGTTTGCAGGTAATTAAAATTTTTAATGGGAATATGAAGTTCCCATATCCTCTTTCCCACAGAGACATAATTTGCATACGTAGTGAGATACTACAGTTAATCAGATAAGTGAGAGAGGAGAGGGGTGCCACACCTGGTGTGGAATGCGGTGCCTTGGTCTGCCTGGGTCGTAGCTCCCGGGTTAGAGAGTTTAAGATTTTTGGCATCTGCCTGACCAATCCCAGTGGCTGCCTGGTGGGGTCTGGGTCCCTGGGCTCTGCTGGGTCCCCGGCGAGGGTGGTCGCCCCTGGGTCCCGGGCTCGGCCGGCTAGGGGGTGGGAGGCTGCGGGCGGGCCTGTGGGCTTGCCGCCGATATCTCCCGGGACTCTGCCAGCTGCTGGTTGTGGCCCCCCGGGGCGATCCTCTGTGCCTCTCGAATAGAACGGGGGCTTTTCTGGTTGCAGTCTCCCTGGAGTTCCTGTGCTCTGGGGCAGCTCCTAGATCTCTGGGACTTGGAGCTCCCTCCGTCTCCTACACATCTTTAGGGGGCAGATCTGTGGCCCTCACACTCTCTATTGGACGCTCTTATAGAGAAACCTTACATAAACAAGAGCATGTACACACACAGGTGCTCACATGGTGCTCTCATAAGTATGGACTTGGGCACGTTCAAAACAGGTCTTAAGACTGTGGTGGGCACTTAATGCACTGTGATTTATTATTGTGTGATTGTTCAGTTAAACAATGTTGATTTTATATTTCTTCATCAAGTTGACACGGTGATAACTGGATCTCTTTGTAGTGTCCCATTTTTTTTTTGTTTTTTTGTTTGTTTGTTTTTTCTTCTCTCTTTCTGCAGGTCTAGAAGCAGACTCTTGTTCATTATTGTTTATTTTTGTGCCCCCCCTCCCCCTGTCTCTTCCTCTCTCTTTCACCTCTGACTCCGTGTATGGTCGGAATTAAAAAGCATTCAAAAACAATAACAATAAAGTTTTAAGTATGAGGAGCGACATTAAAAGCAGACGCTTTGATGCTCCACCTGAGAGTAAATCTGTAAGGCTTGTTACCAGCATTCAGACATCAATTTTGTTTGCTTCACAGCCAGACAGGACACACACACACAAAATTCAGATAAGTGAGACCACATGCAAATGAAGCAGTAACACATTTTCCTTATAACGCTGCACGGCTGCAACCAAGAAGTTGGGGTGAGATGTTGTCAGATGATGGTTCTGCAGCTGCAGATGCAACCTAGTAGCTGAGCTTTGTGCATTTTTATGGCGGATTGTGGCTTGTTTTTTCATGATGTTAGTATTTAATTGACCTAAACTGGAGGAGAATGGTGAACAATGACTGTTTATTTTTGCAAAACAAAAAACTTAATAAGAAAGTAGATAAAAACGTTCTCACACACTGGATTACAAAGACACCACTGGGTACCGAAAAATCCCCAAGGAGGGCAACAGCCTAGCCAGCATGCATAGGTGGGCCTCATATGGGTGTACATATATATATATATGTGGGCAAACCATGTGGGTGCCAACAGGGCTTGTCCACGGTTTCCATGATGGCCCTACATGGGTTTTCAGAGGGACCCAGATGGTATGGCTCATATGTGGGCCATGGAAACTGCAGACAAACCCAGTTGGCACACATATGGTTTGTCCTTATGAATTCATATGGGGCCCACCTATGCATGCTGTCTGGGAGTACTCAGTGGAATCTGGAGAAACCGAGGACTATTTATTTATGCTGTTAAGGTGAACCAAATAAAAACAGGAGGCCTGATTTTTAAACATGTTTATTTGCTTATTGACCAGGTAACCAAGACCAGATCACTTGGGACCTGTTTTTTCAAAAGGGAACACACCTATTTAGAGATGTCTGGTGGTTATTTGATCGCTCAAGTTGTATGTTTAGAACAAAGATGAGCTTGGTCCCACTCCCACAATAGATTGTGAGAGAAAACCAATTTCCATTGGGCCTTTTGTTCTTTGTGTCCAATGAAGAGATTATTGTGCAGTGCAGAGATTATATGTTTAAGAATGACGCCAGACTTGTTCCCAGTCTAGGGTTACATGGTTTTCTTTCTATCCCATGTAGATATCATTTACCAAAACATTTCAGTTTTGAAGCACATGAAAAAGAAAAAAAATAGGTTTATTTTTGATCTCCTCTTTCCTAAAATACTCACCATCTCCATGAACCAGCAGAATGGTTTCCTGGTCTTTTTTTCTTGGGATGTAAATGAAATAGTTTGGCGTTTTCGAGTGTCTTTCCATGCCGCCTATTTCTCAGTCTTCTGGTAGTAATCAGGTGTTGGCTGAGTGCTTAAGGTGCCATTGTATAATTATTGGGATTTCCATCTGCAGACTGGGTGGAGTTCAGCCCGTATGAAATCGGGATGGCGAAGTACGGGACTTTCATGAAGCCCGACTTGTTTGGAAGCAAGTTTTTCATGGGGACTGCCGTGAAGAAGTACGAAGAGAACCCTATTCATTTTCTGATGGGTAAGAATACTTTTTAGAATAAAGTCAGAACTTCTGTTGCCATTCTGATGGCCGTGTTTTTGATTTAGGCGTGTGGGGAAGTGCCTTCTCCATTTTGTTCAACAGAGTCATTGGAGTAAGGGACACATCTGATAGAAGCACTATGGAGGAGGAGTTAGGTAATGTTTTTATATTTTCTTTGTTTTTTGTGTTTACACTCATCATATAATAAAATAGTGATGAAGAAGCCACCATAAAGTGTCTAAAGTTTATGAAGTTGGTTCTGCCAGTCAGAACCACGGAGACCCAGAGCTAATTGGTAGGAACCTATATCTTCTCTGACCTGGGAGCAGCTTCCTTCCCCCATGAGGAACTAGCGAGTGTCGTCAGGCACAAGGATGGCTGGGTTTATCTAGATCTGTTAGCTTAGATAAAGGGTGAAGGATGTATAATAAAACAAAACCATGAAAGTACCAAGTCTAAAATTGATTGTTTTTAGAGGACAGATGTTAAAAAAGTAGGCTAGGAGTTCCTGGAAAAGCTTTTCAGGAAGCAACATTTTTAATTCACACAGTTCAAAGGTTCAAGCCCTTTTCTTTCCCTCTGAGCCACGCCTCCAGAATTCAGGAGAATGTCGGTCGCAACCGAAACTGTCAAACAACCATATACCTTACCTTTTCCACCCGTTGTTGGCATCTTTTCTGCCATAATTCCTATTGCCATACACCCACGTAACCTTATAACGGTATAGTATGTTAGCAAATATAGCTAGCCCGGCTCTGGCTCTGCTTCCTGTTGAGCTGCTCTAAGCCTAGAACGTGCAACGTGTGCACATAGAGGGGTCTGTGCAGTGGAGGGGGAGGAAGTCAGAGGTCAGTTTGATGGATGACTTATGATTCAAACATTAACTCATTTACTGCCATTGATGACTAAAGTCGTCATTTTAAAGCCAACCGCTCGCTGCCTCGTCAATTGCATTTTTTTACTAAGCGAGCGTGGGAATGAGCCCCCGCACTCTTAGAACAAACATCACAGCTCTAAAGTTGATCTTCATCCACGCATGTCACATATCACATGATCAGGAAGCAGAAAATTCATGAATTAGGAGATCGTTTTGGGCCGCTGGTGTGAAAAAGGCGAGGCGTGAACCAGAAAAGCAGCTCACAAACGGATTATAAAATTACGGATAACGCTAGAAACACGCCGGTTAAAAAAACCCCAGTTAAAATGCTCAAAAACTTTGCCAGCCAGGGGCTTTCTGACCAGTAAATGACTGACAGTTAATGAGTTAAGAACGGGCTGTTCCAAATTTAATCAGCAAGAACTCAACAGCAGAGGCCACCTCATTTGTTGTTGGTAAATTTTATGTCGAAATTCTACAGTAGAGTTTTCACAGATGCAATTTTAACAGATGTATTTTAGGTTTGAAAAATTCAAAAACATAATTTCACAGAATACAAATTCAGTGTCATAAAGTCAATATCTAAAAAAAGTTGTTTTCTGGTGCAACTGTACTTCTTCCACAGGTAGAAACAGAATTTTTAGTTTGTCTTTCACTGTAATCTATTGATTTCTGGGAAACAAAGACAGTGTGTGGCTTAATGCCCAGATATTTGTATTCATTAACCTGCTGAAGAACGTCCCCATTGAGAATCCTCACCTTCTATCCGTGTTTGGGGGTGCTGGAGCTGGACCACCAAACTGGAATGTGAAGTACAACATTTTTTATTTCGTCGCTAGATATGATGGAGGTTGGAGAGTAGCTCATACCTGCATTTTTAGTCATGGCTCATTTGTCTTTTTCCCACGCACTTTCTTTGTTTAAAGCTGATAAAACAACTTCCGTGGAGCAGCCTACCACTGATACCGAAATTACAACATTCCTGAGGCGTTATCTCCATCAGTCATTTCCTAAACTCGCTTATAGTCTTTGATTTTATACACCGCAGACGCGCATAAGTCCAGCAGTTCTCACCATACCATTACAACTAGAATTAAGACCTTGTTTCCTAATGCTTCAAAATATGTAGCATGAGTTTGTGCGACGGTATCGGCTTTCGGACAGCTCATTGGATGTTTGAATGCTTTTGTAAGTTTTGACCTTGGCGTATTCAGACGCACAAATGTGTCACGGTGTCTCCACCTAGTTTAAGAATGTGTCGCTTTATCAGGTGTTTCATGTTTCTAATAGCAGATTGCAACATGATAATGCCACATCGCTGACAAAAACAGAGGGTCAGGTGCAGTTTAGTGAGATTTCAATAAAATAAACTTCTCCTGAAAGCTGAAGATGAAAAGATGTGTTGTTTTTTTGTCCTGCAGAGCAGATCAAACCGCAGCACATCGTTGGAGAAGACAACGACAACGACGATGAGCCGCGCAAAGGTGAGAGTAAATATTTATTTGTGTTAGGAATTTAGAGAAAGGCAGATTGGCTGATTTTTGCAGTTTCCTTTGTGTTGAAACAGAGATGTGTGGCTTTGACTGGAAACAAACATCTGAGGAAAAGTTACCGCCTTTAAATGATGACACAGCTTTATTAAAACAGCCACTGTGGTTGGAGCAGGAAAAAAGTGCGGTTAAAAAAGTTTCTTCCTCTTATTCATTTATACTTATTTTTGTTTGTTTCCTTAATTAACGATACTGCTCAAAGGCACTGTTAAGAGGACGGTGGCCTTTATTATAATTTGTAAGTGAGAACTCAAAGGACTTCATAAAAATCTAAAATAAGAAAGGGGAACAAAAATGATGAGAAACAAATTGCTTGCTGGCTTAGAATAAGACAGACCTCAATTTTAAATTAAGATGGAATTAAACAGTTTTAATGACATCTAGATGAAAACGTCTTCCAAATAATTTACATGTAAAAATGTAAACTTTAGCTCTAAACTCTTCCGAAATTATCATTTATTATTTGCAGATTGTTATAATGTTAAGATGATTACTGGCATAGAAACACAATCAGCTCTACTCTGATAGTTATTGATATTTCAGTAAAGAGATTATAAGGTTTGCAAAGAAGACTTAAAAGGTGTGGAACACTGAAACAACATTTTCAATTATTATTTCAGATTATAATCGATCACTCTGAGGTTTTCATACAGACTGAACATGAAAATAGTCTCCTACACCTATCTGCTGCATTAACTTCTGGTAGAAAATAGACAGTGAAAATCTAAAGCCCCCTTCAGACAGGCCATGAAAAACGGAAATGTTCCGGCTCTGTCCGTAAGACCTTTGTGTCTGAATACAAACATCCGGATAACGTGTTCCGGAATTTAACCGGACGAAGCCCCTAGTAACAGGTCCGGACTTGTTATGGACAGGGTGACTGCTTCAGACTGGTGAGGTAAAGTTCCGGACAAGGGGGAGGGGGAGGAGGAGGGGACCGGGGGACGCTGTGCGCACCTAGATAGCTCGCTCCTGTAGCATGCGGCGAACCACGGCAGCTCGCCTCCTACGGTACCGCCTAGACGCGCGACGGAGCGCTTCACACCGCTTCAGTGATTCCTTTAACCATTGAGCTTCATCATCCAGGTCTCTTATGCGTCTTCGTGTACTCAGAATTATGCTTAAGCGCCTCGTGATTTTTATCTTGAGAGGCGCTATAGAAATGATATTTTCTTCTTCTTCTTCTTAACATAAGTCCGATCCCCCCCCCCCCCCTCCCCCGCCGCCGTCAGACATCTGGAACTTTTCCCTGCTGTGTGAACGCAGCCGAAAGGACAAGTTCCGGTACAAAAGTGGTGTGTCTGAAAACACAGTTCCAGTTAAAAACCGGATTGAATTGTCCGCAAATGTTCCAGAATGTCAGTCTGAAAAGGGCTTAAGTTTATAAAATCCTGACGGATCTACGTCACACTGTCACTTAATGTTCACGGACTCACCCGTCCTGACTCACGACGAGGAAGCCTGTTGTTGTCTCAGTGTCTAGGAAACAGCAGAGAATGTCTCAGTTAGCAGAAACCAACTGCTAGCATTAGCAACTCCGCCACACAGCAGAACTCCTTCAGGTTTGACTTATTTGTGGAGATAAAACATCTACGTTGCAGATCAAATGGAGCCAGTGGAAGAGTTGTGTTGCTGTTAGCCAATCAGAGGAGAGGTGTCCAAGTATCAGGAAATAAGACTCCAAATCCTGCCGTCTGAAGCTCAACTCTGATGTGGCAATCTGCTAGTTCCTGAAACAAATGCACCTGAGCTTTGTTTATCCCAAGTATGACTTGCAAGGCATTGCTTCCTACTAGATACCACTGCAAATGTATTGATTAAACCAGTGTTCAACACTTTTAAAGAAGACAAATGAAACATTGGGACAAAACAACATCAATAAAAACATTTTATATTATCTTCCTCCTTTATAAAGTAAAATTATTCATCATTATTTGAGCTGAGTCTTCTCAGTATGAAGCGTTGACACTAGGGATGAGCCGGATACTCGTTTCAGAAGAGTATCCGGTACGGATAAAGCATTTTTGACGAGTACGAGCATGAAACGAGTAAAACTCGTAAATATCTGTAATCATAATAATAATGCTGAAGAAAAATCCTCATTGGGTAACTGACTGTCTTCACGCTCTGTGATTGGCCAGTCAAATAGAGCGCCCGCCCCTCCCTACACACAAAACTCTGCAGCCGAAAGCTCACAGCTCAGTCCGCATCCGGTCCATCTACGCACACACACAGACAGTAACGGATCTCTCTGTGCTTGCTTCACTGTTCACGTTTCTTCAGTACTCCCTGTTTTCTTCAGTTTGCTTCTTTTTAAAGTTACTTTAAAGTTATTTAAAGTTACTTTTTTCGTAACGTGTGTGGTGCATTTGACAAGACAGAGCTGAAAACGGCTCGTGCTGCGACAGTCACTGCCTCCGCTCCAGTCTGGTTTTTTTTCCCTCTCTCTCTCTCCTCTTCCTCAGGATCCACTCCCTCTTTCCTATTCACTCTCTCTCTTTCTTTACATTTTTAATCACAATTGTCTATTTTTTTGCTCATTTTAAATATATTTTAATCATTTTCTAAATTCTTTTTTCTATTTTACATGTTTTGTTTTTGTGAAGCGCCCCGTGATTTTTATCTTGAGAGGCGCTATAGAAAAGATCTTTTCTTCTCTCTCTCTCTTAATTCATGCACTTAAATATTAATGTTCTGATTTTATTGAAAAACTTGTTCTGTAATAGTTCCTTTACTATTGTGATCAAAAACATTTAATCTCAACTCTGAGGCTGCTCTGTAAATAGTTTTCAAATAAACAATACACATAGCAACTTCTGATCAGACTTAAAATAACGTATTGATGTAAACCACACCCACTTCCCGTTAAACTACACCCACTCCCGGGTTAGGCCACGCCCACTCCGAGTACAGATACAGATACAGATAATTTAGATGGTTGAACAGATACAGATACAGATAGTGGTGTACTCGCTCATCCCTAGTTGACACCTTCCTTCAGCAAAAAGTGCTTCAAAGCTGATGATTTATCATTGTTTTGGGGATTGTAGCCAAATTCTCATTTAAGAGCAAATTTATCTTTTCATGCCTGAACAGAATAGGGAGCTTAAATCACGCCCATTTACTTCTGGAGCATGGCTCACCGGAAGAACAAAAAAAAAAAAAAAAGAATAAAAGTCAATGGAGCAATAAATGCTATTTTCTAATCCTGTTTGTTATGTGCCATGGATTTCACACATGATGTCTGACACATTCTGATGCCATGAACGCACTTATTTTCAAATGGTGGCAAAGTTATTTTAGGTTTTGTGTGAAAATATGTTCAAGACTACAACTGCTCATCACCAAGTTGACATTATTGAACCAGAAACGGAGAAGAGCAGAGGAAAAATCGCTGTAAGTGTAGTGAGCTTTAAGTCCTTCCTTCAGCAGGAAAGAACCGCCATAAATCTGGCTATGTGGTAAGTAGCAGCTGCGCTAGGGGAGAGGAGATTACGTGGTGACATCATATATGCGACGTGCCAACACCTGATTTGTAGTCATAGTAAGTGCGAATATTTACAAGCTGATTAATCTCAAAGTACCTGACGGGCGTGGTCGAAACACACATTGCTTTTCATTTAAATTGAAGTACAACTAATTCAGAGCACAAGGCGAAGAGGATTAAAAATATCTTTTTCAGCCCCGTTGACTTGCATTCATTTTTTCGTTCTTTCGGGGACCCGGAAACGGAGTCCTAGGCTGCCTATTTAATTATTTTGTAATTGAGCTGCTGTGCTTGAACTCATCTTCATGCATAACTCAGTGTTTAGAAATACGGTACAGAAAACGCCCTGTGGCATTTGTGAAACAGACCCCCACCCTGCTGGGTTACAGTAACCTTTCACATCCTTTACCTGATCTGCTTCTGTTTGCGGATCCGTCAAATTCGCCACTGTTAGGATAATTTTGGCTTTCTTTGCATTCTTTGCTCTCAGTGATCTCTGTCGGTTATGAGTAGAGAGAGTGCAGTGGTCTAAAATTTTCTTATTTTGTACACAAACAGCTGTTGTAACTTTAGAGTTGGTGTCATTCACACTCTTTAAAAAAAGCTTTTCTAAGCTTTTCTATCTAAATAGCACCATCAGCTCTTTTTCCAAAGTCTTCTGAAATCCTCTCAGATCATGTCAGGACATCAAAATAACTTAATTTTCTTTTTTGCAAGAAAAGTGTTTACAGATTTAAAAATGTTTATCTCGTACCTGCTGACAGTCTGACACAACGGCAGAAGTCAGATGACACTCTGAGGCCCTGTCCACACGTAGCGGGGGATCTGCCAAAACGTAGATATTTTTCTACGTTTTGGCCTGTCATCCACATGAAAACTGAGTTTTTTCACACGAAAACGGATCTTTTTAAAAACTCCGGCCAAAGTGAAGATCTGTGTTTTCTCCGTTTTGGGTGTCTGCGTGTGGACAGACAAAACCGGTGTCTGTACAAGATCTGCTCGGGTGAGGATCGGCTCGGGGTCCTTCAACTGCCGATGACGTCAAAGTACGGCCAGGTCTGCAACGTCACTTTCCGCGGCAAAAAAATGCTGATATCACGTGTGCGACCTGTGTTTACACTAGCCGACAGCATGGATGCCCTCAGAGCTGCGCTCGCTTTATCAATTGTCCAAGCGCTTTTTGCTTGTTTGTTTTTGCAAGCGGAATTACTGCTCCTTGCGGAAGACCACAGATGAAGGACGAGGTTAAGAACGGGGGAAGTACTGCCGCCAACGTATTTATCCGGGTACGTGTGGACGGAGTTTTTTTTAAAACGAGGTGGTGTGGATGCAAGTTTTTGGAGGGGCGGATATTCGTTTTTAAAAAAACCCGGCTACGTGTGGACTAGGCCTGAGGAAGACTGAAGCTTTCAGTCGAAACTGTCAGCAGGTATGAGGTAAATATTTTTAAACCCGCAAACGTTTGTCTTACAAAAAGGAAAACTGAGTCATTTTGATTTACAACGAAGACAAAATGAACTTTTTTAATCTATCATTTCAGGACATGTTTTCTCAAAGATCCTTGTTGTCTTAAGAAAAGCTGAAAAGCTACACAAATGATGCTGTCGTACTGATCTAAACACCTGAACTTCCCTTTCAAATCAGTAGTTTGTGATATTTTGATGTTGCACTGAAACCTAACATAGCCTATGTTTTTACCAGTTTAGGGCTTAAAGAAAAAACAAAAAAATATTTCAGTTCAGTTTCATGCCGTTATATTGAATCTTATACAGAATTATTCATTCGTATGAAGGTATAATTGTAGATTTCGTTGCACTTAAACTGCTCATGTTTCCTATCTGTTATGCACTCATTTGGCAGTCTTTGTATTTATCTTGGGGATTTCCCCGCATAGACCTGTCATCAATGTCTGCTTCCAGAATGGAAAACAAAAGAAAGAATTGCTTAATAGAAGAGGTACAAAGGTTTATGCTCATGAAAACTCGTGAAAGAAAATGCAGACATATGGCAAGCAAGCCAGTGAACCTGTGACTGCTAGGTGTTTCATTAAATTGAATCAGGTAAATGTTCTTGTCATCAGCGAAAGGACGACAAGAACATTTCTTTCTGCTTTAGCTTCTGATAGAAATTAGACGGTGAAACGCTACGATTAGAAAAGCCTGACAGAACTACGTCACATTGAAAAGTAGCAATCACAGACTCACCCATCTTGGCTCACGACCAGGAAGGTTGTTGTTGATTTAGCGTCCAGGAGAGAACAGAGAGTGTCTCAGTAGAAGCTAACAGTTAGCATTGATCACAACATGGCAGAGCAAACAGAGTCAGTGGTAGATTTCAAATTCAATTCAAAGATACTTTTTTAGTCCCAGAGGGAAATTAGTTTCAGTACACACAATTCTGAGATCAGACATACATACATACATAGGCATAGACACATGACAAGAATTGGTAACTGTGGTTATTCGCAACCCGAGTCGCGCTACCTTAATAGAGATCAGAGGGTTTACATGAGGACTGAGTCAGGTGGAGAAAAAAAAGGCACTTCAGAGTTACCCTCCACATGGAGGGCAGCTTTGCTATGCAAAAAACACCTCAGACAGAAATGCAACAGACCTCAGACATTACACAACATAAATGTCCACTAGGTGGGGAGGTAGGGTTGGGGACTCTCCTCACATCAGTGCATGCAGCCGTGATGAGCAGCGCTCGTCACCTCCGTTTGGACAGGGGTGGGAGGTAATTGGGTTAGAGAGCACAGTGACTCCTGGAAATGATTTAATGACCTTCACCAGTCGCAGTCCCACCCAGGCTGGGATAGGGAGATAGAGTTGCCATGGCGATGGCAGCATTCCACATTTCTTCTGAGGGGGAGTAATCACTTCAGCCTCACAAGCTCAAGGGCACCAGATTCAGATAAGAACTTGTTTTGGGGCCAGGCAGAGATAATTTCCTCTCTGTTTTTAAGTTCTGTTGGCCTCCAACCCCTATGTTGCTTCTAGCCAATCAGAGACGAGATGTCCAAATATCAGGAAATAAGAGTCCAGATCCTGCCATCCTCTGCTGCCCTCTCCTCTGGCTCAATTCTAGTTCCTGAAACAGGAGCACCAAAGCTTGTTTCCGCCAGAGATCAACTCACAGGACATTTATTTTAAGGATGTCCCGTTCCGACATCGATATTGGAAGTAATTTGATATCGGCCAAAAAACACTGTATCGGATTATATCGAACTGCATCAAAAATCTCCAATATAATCAGTCCGTTCCGCCTTCATTTCATTCCAGCAATTCTATCCAGCAGCACCCAGATCCTGCATGCAAATCCCACGTGATCAGAACAGTGCATGCTAGCAAAGTAAGCAGCAATGTCAGCTGTGTAGCAGTGTTTCTTGTTAAAGTCCATAAAGTGTGGCTCAGTGCAACATTTGCCATGCACGAGTTTCCAGTGGTGGAACAGAACCAGGAGAGTTTAATACTGTACGTCCAACCTCATCGCACGTTTGAAGCAGCATCAAAAAACACTGCACGATGATTTTCAGTGTGTGAAACTGAAATCTAGGACACTCAACTTGTATCAGTTGGTAAATGGACAATATTGTGGGGTTTTTTCTTACGGCCGTGCCCTCAGCAGTTCCTACTACTTGCTGACAGTAAAACATAACTGAAGTGATCCTGAATTAGTATTTTGTATTTTCTATTAATTTAATTCATTTGTCATACATTATGTTTAAGTTTTACATCTATGCAACCAATGGTTAATAAAAAAACAATTGTTATTTTTCCATACTTACTGTTACTGGCTCTTGTTCTCCAATTGAGTAATACCACTTGATCAATCCTTTCATAAATTCCACACTATGAAATAGGTAAAATTATGTATGATTTGTGCTGGTATCATGTCGGATTGATATCAGTATTGGTCAATACCGAAGGCTGCAATATCGGTATCGAATTGGAAGGGACAAATCCCTAATTTATTTATACTAGAGACCACTGCAGATGTACTGAAAAAATGAGTGAACAGACCATTTATTGTGACCAAATGATATTAAAAATATGAATTCTTGCATTCAGACAGAATAAATGAAAAAAGAGGTGAATTACCCTCCATATTTATATAGATAGAAATTTGAACTGCAAAAGAGAAGAAAGGGTGGTGCAGAACTGATGTTGATGAAATCATTGCTTAACAGCTGAAATTTTTATGGAGAAAAAAAAAAGATAAAAGACGAAGACAAAGAAAGTTTTTTTTGCACCTCTCAAGATAAAAATCACGAGGCACTCTCATGTAAACATAAAACAAAACACAATATTTAGCTGCATCTGTAGTTGTGTATTCATTAGTTCCACTCCAAACAATAAAAATATTAACGAATATATTTGATACAGTGAATAGTATGAGTTTTTTCCCTGGTTGACTAAACCAGCCAAAGTAACATCAATCACATCGTGCTATTCTAATAGACGATTTATTTTCTAATTTAATGGAAGATTGAATAAAGGAATAGGTTTTTAATAGCTTTTAATTTAAGTCTTACAATTTAAAGCACCCATAGAAAGTTAGGTAGAAAGTAAGGTTAGTAAAACAAAATCTTAATATGTTTTTATTTCCTAATTTTGTACATCACATGCATCAATTTTGTTGTTTTACAGATCAGAGCAGCCAGTGAGATGCAATTTTATTCTACTTTTAATATAACAATTACTCCTAAGATCATATATTTATGTTTGATTTTACATATTTTATTTGGGATTTTATTTTGAACTGTTTATTTGCACCTGTGATGATAATTTGGTGTTTAGGTGGTACAGAAAACCAGGAGGCCGAGGAAGAGTTCCATCGCACCGCTCAGGCTAGCTTCGTTCAGCGGATGTTCACCTCGTTCTTCGGCGAATCGACTTTGTTCAACACGAGGGAGGGTCGAGCTGGGAAGGCACGTTATTAAAACCTCCACACTCTTTTCTGTAACCACAAACACATGCGTTTACCACTATCGCTGTATAAACACCTCCTCGTCCTTTCACCAGGTGCACAACTTCATGCTGGGCTTGAACCTGAACACCAACCAGCTCATGTCTCCGGTCAATGAAACGCTGTTTCCTGCACACGTGCCTGAGGAGGAAGTGGATGCCGTGACAGGTGAGAAGGATGATTAATAGTTTACAGTTTAACTTAGTTAGAGACACTCAAAGGAGAACCACAAAGAAAAAACAGGATGGGACTTGCTCGTTGCAAACAGGATTCATTCAGTAGCTGCTTGCATTACATCTGATTATGGTTAGATGAACCCTAAAATGAAAAATCCTAAATGTGCAGCTGTGGCCAAAAGAGGGTTTGTATCATACTTTAGCTCAAGCTGTCATTATTTAATACTTAACTCATTAACTTAACTCAAAGGCCGTCGCTGCCAGCATTTCTCACCGTTTTTACTGTTTTTTTAAGAGTCAAACAACGTTGCACGCTAGGATGATGTCGACGTCAAAACAACCAAAACAAAGCGGAGACTCACCTCTTACATCAGGAAGAATCTGCACGTTTCGAGCTTTATCGGTTCTTTCATAATCCGTTGTTGAATTGTGATCAGCAGAAGCTTTTCCGGTTCGCGCCTCACTTTTTTTTACAGCAGCGGCCCAAAACGATCTCCTAACACATGGATTTTCTGCTTCCCGATCACGTGACGTGTGAGTATGCGGATGAAGATCGGCTTTATAGCTGGAATGTTTGTTCTCACGGTGCGGGAGCTCGTTCTGACGCCCACAAATGCAAATGACGACTTTAGTCGTCAATGGCAGTGAACGGTTGGATGTAAAATGACGACTTTAGTTGTCAGTGGCAGTGAATGAGTTAAGGGTGTTTTTTTGTGACTTATGAACTTGATGTAAATTAGAAAAAAGTTTCCTCGTCTTGAATCGTTTGATCTTCTTTCAGATCCTGATGAATTTGACCGGATTTACGAGCCGCTGGACGTGAAGAGCAAGAAGATCCATATCGTGGACAGCGGCCTGACCTACAATCTCCCCTACCCTCTCCTCCTGAGGCAGCAGCGGGGAGTTGACCTCATCATCTCCTTCGACTTTTCAGCTAGACCAAGTGACTCCAGCCCTCCATTTAAGGTCTGAATTTTAACTTATTTATTTATTTTCTGTTTTTTTTTTTTTTACCGCCACACGTTTGTACAAGAATCTAATCCATTAATTTGTCCCACAGGAGCTCCTGTTGGCAGAGAAGTGGGCCAGAATGAACAAGCTTCCATTCCCAAAGATTGACCCGAGGGTGTTTGATCGCGAGGGTCTGAAGGAATGCTACGTGTTCAAACCCAGGAAAGGAGAGAGGAACTGCCCAACTGTCATCCATTTTGTCTTGGTCAACATTAACTTCAGGAAGTTTAAAGCACCTGGTAAGAATACACACGTGTGAGATTTTAACAGAAGGAAGGGAGATGGAGGAAAGGTGTGTTGTTTTAATTAGGTCATTTTTCTCTCATGACACATGAGGTGTTTCTCATCTGAAATTACCGTTTGGAATTTATCCACAATCAGTCAGCAGCAGTTTTTCTAAGAAGCTACGCAGTTTGACTGAGAGCACCCCCTAAAATAAAGCCCCTGTCTGGGAGGTTTTCGCTGTCTGCTGTGTGTGTGTGTGTGCGCGTGCATACACGTGTGTGTGTGTGTGTGTGTGTGCCCCTGTAGATGCAGTGTGTTCAGGATTTATGGCCCACCTGAGTGCACTATGGTTGCTGAAGGAGCCAGGTGGTGTTAGTGGATTCTTCAGTCCAGTGAGAAAGCTGTGTATGTAAACAAACCATACATCAGGAGCCCTGCAGAGACACACTATCCCCACATCTCTGCTGATCCTTCTTTAAATTCTGTAGGTCATCTGCCCACATACATCCTCAGTCTGTTTATAGATGTTTCACAAGGATTTTACCCATAGACCTAACAGACCCGAGGAAGTTGAACCATAAAAGGACTTCCGCTGTCAGGATTTTTAAAAACTGCTACTTCTGCTTACACGTAGGATCTTGCACCAATTGTATTGCAGTATAAACAAGAAGATTTCATTCATGAGGTTAAATCAGTCCAGATTGATTTATCCTCATTGGGAGTTCAGTTCTGATCCAACAGGGTTCAGGAAGCAGGGATACTGACAAGTGTCTTCATGTTGACCATCCTTTCTAGTTAACCCAACACACTCGGACTCTCTAACAACTTGCTGACATTCACTTGTTCATTTTCTTAACCACTTGTTCCTAATTAGCAATGGCAGCTGGTTTCTATCTCTAGCAGTCATAGGGCAAGAAGCAGGGGACACACTGGGCATGTCCATCACAGGGACACATAAGCCATGTTTCCCCCATAGGGGATAATAATAACAACAATAACAATAATAATAATAACAATAATAAAAATGATATCTGTAGGTTCAACACATTAATGTTCACACAAACAAAGCAAAAATCTTAAGCCAATAAAGTTTAGAATTTATTGTGAATTGATCATAATAAAAAATGAAAATATTATTTTTAGGCGATAGTAATTATAATGTGATTTTCTACTTTTTCAATCATCTCCATATTTAGTCAAATGTATGTAATTTAGTAGATTATTATTTTCTTTTAGCTAAGTTCCTCTCATGCTGATGGGAAAGATTAAAACATGCCACCAGTCAGAGGAGTGAGCCAATCCCTTGAGTCTTGAGTAATTCAATAAAAAAGCATCAATCCATTTTTTCCACTTTCACACAGGAGAACAGCCTATCGGAGAATTTCTGGGTCACCGCAGATCTGGAAGTCCTCGACAATCACGATGCTCCATATAGCTTTTTTGATTTTCTGTCCTTGTTTGGTCATGTAATCACAGGTGTTGCCAGAGAGACCGAGAAGGAGAAAGACTTGGCAGATTTCGACATCTTTGATGATTCCGAGTCCCCCTTTTCCACCTTCAACTTCCAGTACACCAACGAGGCTTTCATCCGACTTCATGACCTGATGGAGTTCAACACGCTCAACAACCTCGAGGTCAGTCAGGCCCCTTAGCACAACTGGTAGATATAAGGTTTTTGTAACAGGAAGTAGAGGTTCAGTGTTGTGACTGTTCCGGTGTGTAAAACACAAGGTCATCAAGAGGCTGAAGAGTGACTCACCCAAACAGCTTACGCTGACAAATTGTTTATTCGTTTCCTCAGCTTTTCGCTGTTTATTTACCCTTATTTAGTGATGGCAGCAAGGAAGTTTTGGATTTATGCTTTTTGATTGTGCAACATCAAATTTCTTTTAAACCTGGATCATACAAGCTTGGACCGGTTCCGTGGGTGTGTTCAGAGCGAGGTCACACTGACTCCCCTTAGTCACTTCCTCATTGAGTAGAAAATGTGTAACCTGATGCGAGATATTTGGTTTCACATGTCAGATCAGACATGCTTTCATAGCATCCTCATTGCATAACAGCAGCATCGTAACCCCGAGTATGACTTACAAGGCATCCATAACTAAATGTTATGCATTTAGCTTAGATTGTTTTCACATCATGCACAGTTAAGTTTTTCACATCATGCACAGTTAAGTTTAAGATTTCAATTTTATGATTTTGCATACTAGGATAATTAAAAATGAACCCTGACCCCCCTAATTCTACTTTTTGGGTTCTTGCTTGTTTACGTTACCCAGATGGCTTCTAATCCAGAAAACTTTAATCTACAAACAGAGACCCGTGAATGTTTCTGCTGGAAAATTTAGCTTTCCTTTGACTAAATATAGGAATTTTAGTGTTCTCCTCTGTTTATTTTTGAGCATTTTCCCTGACAAATTAGCATGTTAAAAAACCTAAACCAAGCTACAATGCTCTTCCCAGAGAGAAGAGGCTTTTAAATATAAAATAGCATTTAACTAAGGGCTCAGTCTCAGAGCTCAAAGGAACTCCTATTTTAAACCTTTCATATCAAGTCAGAAATAAGACCCTTGGGATTTGATGAAATCCCACCTCCACCTGTGTGAATTCCGCCCATTCCATGGCACAATTCTAGTTCCCCAACAAAGCATCATGGACCATAGAAGGAAGCAGCATTGACAACTTGCACCCTAGTGGCAATCTGGCCATTGGTAGCACCGGGACATTTGCCGGTGGCCTGGCTGCCGACCTGAGATTGCCGAGTCCGCCTACCCCCCGGAGATTCTCTGCCAGCATGCACACACATACGTCTTTTGCTTTCCGTGACTTCAAAAAGTGTTTTTATTTTTGAGACTCTGGTAGTTTGTCCTAAAGTTGAAGTGGTAACAGCCGGCTGTTTCTCCTTCTCTAATATTATTGAGGGGACAACCTCTCACACCAGTGGTGTTCTGTTGCAAACGAATGGAAGACCCAGGCTAACGTAGAAGTGCCGTGATCCGGTGAGACACACAACCGGATGGTCCAATCGTTGGTTTCTAACCGAGCTGTGTTATTGGCTAAGGTTTTTATACAAATGAGGGGGAACCACTTCATTTTTTTCAAATCTCCACAATATAGCTATAGCTATACTATGTTATAAATTACTAAGAAGCATGAAAAAAAATTAAACTTCTGTAGCTTAATATGGTACTTCACTGAAAAACCATTTTTAAAAATTATTGTTTCTGATTATAATTGGTTTAACTACTTGAGTGTGAAAGTAGACTTCTATCCCTATTTCCTGCATTAGCTTCTGATAAAAAACAGACAGTAGAATGCTAGAACATCACATTATATCATCCCGCTTCTCCTCCAGCTTCCCTGGCTGCCAGTTAACTTCAGAATTCATGTCAAGATCCTGGTTCTGGTCTATAGGGCCTTACGTGGACAAGCACCATCTTACATTGGCAATCTTCTCAGTCCCTACACCCCCAGCAGGTCCCTGAGGTCCAGTGACCAAAGCCTACTGGTTGTGCAGCACCAGGCTAAAGACCAAAGGTGACAGATCATTTGCTGCTGTGGCCCCCAGACTCTGGAACTCTCTCCCCCTGAGCTTGAGATCAGTGGACTCAGTGGTCTCCTTTAAAAAGTAGCATTTTCTCATTCCCTTTCCTCACATTTTTTAATCACTTATTTTTCCTCATTTTTATATTTGTTAATCATTAAAATTTTTAATCTTTTAATGTTTTTTTTATTTTTGTATTTTTGAAGCGCCTCGTGATTTTTATCCTGAGAGGTGCTGCATAAAAGATTGTTTTCAATCTTTCTAGAACTTGAAAAGCCTGACAGATCTACATCACACTGCCACTGAACATTCATGGGCTCACCCATCTTGATGTGTGATGGGGAATGCTGTTGTTGGTTTAACAGGAAACAGCAGAGAACGTCTCGACTAGTAGAAGATAACTGTTAGCATTAGCAACTCCACCACACAGCAGAACTCCTCCAGGATTTCAGGCTTGTGTTATTTGCGGAGCTAAAACGTCAGCGTTGCAAAGCAAAGAAGAGTCAGTGGTTGCTGTTAGCCAGTCCAAGACAAGATGCCCAAATATCCTGAAGTAAAACTCCAAATCCTGTCGTGTTCAGCTCAACTCCGATCTGAAACAGGCCCACTGGAGCACCCCACCATCCCGGAGTACGACTAACAAGGCACTCATTCTTAATAAAGACCACTGCAGATGTATTACAGACATGAGTAAAGTACCACTTTAAAATAAACAATCAGTAAAAGCTGAACTTTTACTCATATTTAAGACCAAACTGTTACCACGGTGATCCATCATCAAACACATAACTAAATATTATGTTGATTTGTATGCATATAGCCGAAGCTAAAGCAGCTCACATCTCTCATATCTTTGCTTTGACTGATTTCGTCCTTCAGGCATCAGGCCTGACATGGAAAAACACTTCCCTGCCTGAAATAATGTTTTTACCAGTTGGGACAGTGCATTTCTGTCTGTGTTTGTGTGTGTATGTATCTTAGCATTTTGTATGTAATTAAATCTAATTGAACTAATTGTGCCTCCCAGGTTATTAAAGAAGCCATCAAGGACTGCATCGTGGCACGGAAGGAGAATCCCTCTCTTCCCTTCTCCCTGAGCAATATTCCTAAAAGGAAGTTTGCTAAAAAAGATTCTCCACCCAACCCGTTCAATCATCATGGAGATAAGGATCACCAGTAACTAACGGCTAAAACTTGGGATAAATTTGGGGGATTTTGGTCAGTTCAACCTTTTAAGGTTCAGCCTTTTACTTTGGAAAATGCTCTCATCCTGATCACTGTGTAACGGATTTATGAAACTCAGACTTTCTGCACTTTCAAGTGCACCAATGTGATTTCTGGAAAAGCAATCCTCTCATAACTACTTTCCCTGCTGGCTGGGTGTTGAAAGTTAACATTTGTAATGCTTTGCTGCAGCTGGATGGCTGTTTTTTCCACCACAGACAACATAACGTTTGTCTGGAAATGTATTCTTTTGGTTTTAATGTCCACGAAAGCACCAGAACCACTTCGCTGCTCTTTATTTTTCTGCTGCAGCTCCAAGATTCCTAATGGGTGAGGATGCTTCATGGTGTTAGTTCCTGCAAGGAAAAGCAAAGCTGCATTTGCATCTATTCAGTTACTTTGTTTGCAGTCATGACGCTGGCAAATTTCACCTTAGGTTTTATGGATTGACAGTGCGAAGCGTCACCTGGAGGTTTTTAAACTGAAGATGTGGCTTCAGAGCATTTATTTTCCCTGTATTGGATGACTTGTTTTAACATGTAATCCTGTTTGAAAACATGGATGAGGAGTTCGTAATCTTTGGTTTTGTTTGACGGCACCTCATAAACACAAATCCGTGCACTACCTCTGGATATCCCAAACATCTTTAGGATGTTTACCCACCTACGGAGAGGGAGCACTCCCTGCTGCACTGGAAGGGAGCGCCACTTTAGGTCCACCACTTTGGAAAAACAAAACTTGATGCCATAGCAACAGCCCTGCCCCTCTTTCTCACTCTCTGAACCCGCATGAGAATAAGTATGCTTATCATTTTTTGAGTATATCAGCTCAGAGTGCTAAAGAATCTGGTCAGTTTGATATTTTCTGGCCATTTTCTGCTCCAGAAAGTCAAACTCTCTGGACGCCAGGATGGCGTGACCACAGGGTGGAAGAATAATAGCTTTTAGCAGCAACGGGTGGAATTTTTCACACTATACCTGCAGCAGCAAAGGCCTGGAATCTGACACTACTCCTATACCTGCAGGGGCCCGAAGGCTGCACACAGAGCTGTAGAGTTTTGCACTGAAGCACTTCCCGAGCTCTCCTAGCTCGTGTTTCAACCCAAACAATTTGGAAACTGAGAAGATGCGTAAAAAGCAGATTCGTAAACACACCGATTTATGATCAGGGAGTTTTTATTAGCAGATTTTCTATCCGAATTGTCTTTTTTTCTCTAAATAGATTTAATGTGAGTCATATATTCACTTTCTTATGTAGACTTACAGTAAAAGATCAAGTGCTTTTTATGTTTATGCATCACAAAACTCATCAACGCTTTATTAAAGACTGGAAATGGGTGCAAAAGGTGATTTTCTGGTTTGTACAGGTGAGTTTTAATTACTAAACTTTACGTGATGCTGGAACTGATTTAGTTACAGTTGGAGCATTTTAACCCCGTATAAAAGCTTTTAGCGGTGTCGTTAGCTTATTTATGTGTGTGAAAAATGGAGGTTGGCTTAAAGACAGATTTTTAGCGTTTGATGAGCCAATTTGTGTTTTTTTTTTGTTTGTTTTGCTTTTGTTTGGCATGGGTTAATTCCTGAGAAACACTGCTGACTGACATCTCAGCAGCTTTTCTTTCCTCTCTTCAGAGTTGTTATTATTCTCTACTGAGTTCATTGTGGTTCTGGAAGGGATTTATTTGAGTTTAAATAGATGATATTCTCATGAAAGTGGTTAAACGTGGCACTCAAAAGAGGTTGTTTGGTTAAAAAAGCAAACTTTGATGCGTTTTGAGGACATTTTTTGTAATGTGTACCTTTTGCATAACAGCTCAGAGTTAACAAGTATAGCTAATTTTCTAGTTTTTTAAGATGTTTACAAACTAAATGGTCAGTTCTGTGGAGAAGCAACCGCCTGGGGTCATTAAGTGTATTATAACTGGCAAAAAAGAGGTATATAACATTTATGTTAATGTTCAATAATAAAAGGCAGAATTTATCTTTCGTTTGTGTTTTCTGTTCAATAATTTGACATCCAGTAAAATCCTCCTGAAATAGCCCATCGGGTGAGAAAAATAGAAATCTCGCAGTTTTTTTAATGTCCTGTTTCCTTTTGTTTTGCTTCCTTTCATGTTTCAAAATGAACATTTGATCTGTAACTGAATGGAATTAGGAAAACCAGAAGGCTTGCTGCATCTGAACACCAAAAAACATTAAAGAATAAAAAGAAAATTAAGCAGACATAAACAGAAAACATGTTTTGTAATTCCTCCCTAAAACGGAGCTTCTTTTGTCATCTGGGAGTTAATTCAAGATCTCAGATTCAAAGGTTTAAAAGAAAAGAAGTTAGGTTAACATGTTTATTTATGCTTTTATTATGTTTGAATGTTTAGTCCACAAAGTGTAAATGACAAATATTCAGGTATAGGTTAAAAAACAATAAAACAATAAAATGAAGCAGAGTTTTGATTATTAAATGACTCATCAGGATTTAGGAGAAAATTAAAGAAGTTGTATTTATCATGTAGAATGTTGATTTTTCTTTTTTCTGTTATTAAACCTGTCATCACAAACTTTACTCATCGTGAGTCGTTTTTACAGAAAGCACCTCTTATGTTTGAGTGTATATCACATGTGAAAAGGACATGCCGTTGAGATGGTTTCATCCCTGTCAGATGGAAAAAAAGAAATGTTTCCTTGAAAGATTTCAGCTTCTTTTTTCTGAAGAATTCCCATTCTTGGATAATCCCCCCACGTGACCAGGATGTTTGTTTCAGGAAAAGCTGTCAGTTTTCCATAAAATGTCACTTCCTCAAATTTACTTTTAATGTTTAAACAAATAAAATCTGTGACGTGTTTTGTATTAGTTATCCCACACTAATTAACTAAATAGCAATTATACAAAATGTTATAAATAAATAAAATAAATCTCAGTAGTACACAAGTGACATTTGCTTTACTCCATTGTATTTTTGTGTTAGACAATGAATGCATCATTATCCTGAAGCATGAAGTAAAATGACCTGTTTCATATTAATTAGGAGGCAGAGAGCTGTTAAACATTACACACAAAAAAAACCTACTTTGACACACTCAGAGCTGGAAACACTATGTAGACTCAGGAGAAAAAATGGGGGGAACTCAGTTAAAAAACAAATAAAGATAAAATCATAGAAAAACGAGTTACATCAAGTATGATCTAAAAGGCCCTACTTTCAGTTTCAAACTTTTAAACGTGTTGGTCCTTTTTGGTTCCTAAAGAGACCGATTGTTTGCCTTATGTGTGCACAACACAGATTTATTACTGACAGGAAGCCTTTTAATGCCTGAATGATTCATCGGTCAGAGTTAAGTGGCTAAACCAACAAAAGAAACAAAAAAAAGCAATGGATTGCAAATGAGCCAAAGCCTGCGTAGACTACGGGAAAACTTCTGATAAAGAAACACTTTAAACGCGTGACTGCATGGAAATACAGTATAAAGGCATGAGAGGAGACCCAGCTGTGGACGGAAGCAAATCCCACATGAATCAAAACTAGCTGGTTGAAGGAAATCCATCCTAACAGGGAAACGTGGAGGTGGTGATGTTCGCACACCATCCGTTAATACCTGTACATGGTGGGGTTGGTGCAGGCCAACCAGATGTTTCCAGTGACGGCATGATGATAAAGTACACAATCACCAAACTCTAACATAATCAAACATCTCTGGTGTCTCCTGGAGCAGCAACATCTATGTGAACACGTTTTCTCTGAAAGTCTTTAGTACTTTTACTATCTCATCTCTGCTAAGTTCTCTCTACAGAAGTCTTTTTTGCTTCCCCTTTTATAGTTTTTCTAAATTTTTTTACATTTGACCTACTTTAGTCTATGCTCTGATCTTTTAGATTTTGTTATGGACCTGGAGACCATGTATAAACAACTTCCTATTCACCTGATGATGTCAGCAAAAATGGAAAATTAATTTAGCCTGCACGCATTTTTACATGCAGGCTGAATGTGAAAATTGTTTTCTCGTGCATTAGCTTCTGGTATAAAACAGATGGAAAAATGGTCAGTTCAGACCCTCATCTACGTCACACTTAGCATTCATGGACTCATCCACCTTGACTCGTGACGGGAAAGGCTGTTGTTGATTTAGTGTCCAGAGAACAGAGCACGTCTCTGCAAGTAGAAGCTAACTATTAGCATTAGCATCTCCACAACATGGTAGAACTCCTTCAGGCTTGTGTTATTTGTGGAGACAAAGCATCAACATTGCAAACAGAGTCAGTGTGACCCCAACTTCACACTGGAGACATCAACGGTACAGATGGGCAGCGAAACGTCTCTGCTCCAAATATAATCCATTGTAGTCTATAAGGTTGAACCAAACCGGCCGTAGCGCGGACATTTTAAGGCAGAATGCAGAAGCAGCACGCTGCACCGCTAAAGATGAGGCTGGGTTCTATTTTTGCTGCAAGCCACTTCTGGAACACATCCATTTATGCAGTAAACATAGGGCTAGACAAGAAGTCACACATGGTTTCAGTGTAAAATGCCTGGTCATTTTCAAAATAAAAGGCCATTGCAGCGACACAATTTCATTTCTATGTAGATTATGTCAAAGCATGTGACCTGACAGTTTATTTACTCCCAGCATTTTTTGAAAAGTGCAACGGTGTGTTTTTCAATCAAATCAAAGATACTTTATTAATCCCAGAGGGAAATTAGAGTTTCAGTACACACAATTCAGAGATCAGACATACATGGGCAAGACACATGACAAGAATTGGTGACTGTGGTCATTCGCAACCCTGAGTCGCGCTACCTTAATAGAGATGAGAGGGTTACATGAGGGTTGGTTCAGGTGGAGGGAAAAAAAAGGCACTTCAGAGTTACCCTCCACCGGGAGGGCAGCTTTGCTCTGCAAAAAAAACACCTCAAACACAGATGCAACAGACTTCAGACAGCACAACATAAGTGTCCACCAGGTGGGGTGGTGGGTTGGGACTATCCCCACTTCAGTTCCTGCCGCCACGATAGAAGCAGCACATGTCACCTCAGTGTGGATAGGGGAGGAGCAGAGGGTTGGAGGGTTGCAGTGACCCTGGAACGTTTCAGCGGCCTTCCCGCAGTACCGCCCAGGAGAGGAGAAGAAAAGCGTCTGCACCCTCCAAGAGCCGGAAGAATATATTTTCATGGCTTTCATGAATTCTCTTCTCGATCCCCAGTGAGTCGTGGAGGATGGTTGCTTATACTGAGTCAGGATCCTCTGGAGATTTCTTCCTGTGTAAAGGGAGTTGTCCTCTCTACTGTCCCTCAATGCTTGCTTAGTATGAGGGTTCTAGTCACACATCAAGTCAGTGACTTGATGCCATCTGCTCCTTTTATTGGAAAATTTTCACCGCTAAAGTTGCGTTTCCAGGATTTTCCAGCACCTTCTATGATGACCACATGCATTGAAAGTGCACCTGTGTTTGAAACATTAAAGGTTTTTACATATAAATAATTTCAGCTTCAAGTAATTAAAAAAAAACATGCACCAAGCACTCATTTCACTGGTAAAACAGACACAACATTTACTCATGTCTGCAAAAATGCTTTTCTTAGATATAAAAAAAAAATCTAAATATTCCTTCGACTATGTAGACACGTGTAAATGTTTGTTATTTAATGAACTGAACTGCATTGGAATGTTTACTTTGTCAAGTGCCTTGAGACAACTCATGTCATGAATTGGCGCTGTATAAATGAATTGAAATTGAATTAATCCTGGCAGTGGAGTGGAACAACGTTATACATGACATCAAACGTGATTTCATTCTTCTTCTGCAGATGACATAAACAAACCTTTGAAGTCTTGAGGGATTTTGTGAGTCCTGCGAGAAGGACAACGAAGAATCCGCTCCGCGGCTGAGACTCTCCTGGTGTGGACTCAGCAAATCACAGGAGTGATACGTAGTTTATGCTTCTGCGTCGGTGCGGAGACACGCAAAGCCATTATCTGTCCATGCAAGGGCTCTCCAGCAGGCTCGCAAGGACGAACGGAGTCTAGTCCACTTTTGTAAACATCCATCAAACAAGACAGAGGCAAGCTTGTGATTGGTCAGGATGCAACTTTCGTCAACAGCACCGACGTTTCCACCTCAAAAACATAAAGAGCCTAAGATATACAACAGCAGATGCGGGGCAGCTTGAAGAATATCTCACAGAAATAACTCAAATGTTTTATTCACCCATGACTGGAGGAGTAAAAAGATACACAGCAAGTGATTTATTCATGGATGGAAATTGCGGGGAAAGTGGGTTTAGAGGTGATAAGCGCATGAAGAGGTGGAGGAGGATGAGAGACATTTTTTCTCCTGTTAAAAAGTCTCTGAAATGCAAAAAACACAATATAAACACAATAGTAAAAGCAGTCACTTGGACTGGATACATGACAGGATACCCCAGAACAGCACTACGCCTTCTATTGTTCCGGTGGGAAATTGCTTTGCAACACTCCCCAGGAGACGGAGGCCCAATCTCAATACTCGCCCTTCAGCCCTTCAAATGCGCAATCCCGACCAGGGGTGCGAGTGCGTAGGGTGTCCCAATAGGAATCCTAAGTCTCCTCCCTTTCCGGTCAGCTCATGGGTCCCCGGAAGAACGACAAAATTAATGCAAGCCAACGGGGCTAAAAACGCTATTTTCTAACCCGCTTTGCCTTACGCCCTGCATCGCACATATGTTGTACTGCAATTTAAATGAAAAGTAATGGCGGGTGTTTTGGCCACGCCAGTTGCATACTTTGAGATTTATCAGCTTGTAAAAGTTTGTAATTAGCATGACTACACGAAGTCGCATATGTGACGTCACCACAAAATCTCCTCTGCTACTTACCACATGACCAGATTTATGGTGGTTTTTTCCTCCTGTGGGAAGTTTGCTGAACTTACAGCCCTTTTCCCTCGGTTTCCTCCGTGTCTGGTTCGATGACGTCACTTTCGTGAAGCGCATTTGTAGTCCTGGACTTATTTTCACACAAAACCTAAAATAGTGTTTTCCCCCGTTCAAAAATAAGCGCATTCTTGGTATCAAAAAGCTTCTTTAAACTGTCCACTGACATCATATGTGAAATCCATGGCACAAAACAAGCGGAATTAGAAAATAGCGTTTTTAGTCTAATTGACTTGCTTTCATTTTTTCGTTCTTCCGGGGACCCGTGTAGTTGGGCGTGACTTAGGCTCCCTATTCTCAAGTGCGGATGTTGATCACGCCCCTTTTGCACCCTTGATCCACACATCGGACTTGGGTGATGGGTATTACCCACAATCCATTGCTATGGGAGAAACGTCTCATGTTCTTTTTCTGAAAATATGTCTTTTCTAATGAAAGTATTTAATTTTAGGACAATTAGTTGATGCTCTGAATGATTTAGAAAAACCAGCAATTAATTTAAATGTATTTCAAATAATTGGTTGTTTGTTTTAAAGTTGTTAATAAAGGTTTTTAAATAACCTATCACAGCGACCAGCATCCCGGTCGATTACACAACAATCCCTGTCTCAATTCGGCAATTATTTGCACACTTGTGTACCACGTACTCGAAGCCTTA